ATATATTATTAATATATTCAAATTAATAGTAAATGTAAATTTTTACTAATTATATTATCATTAATTTTATGGATACATTCAATTTAAAAGTATATGCAATTTTATATTATCATCACTTTACATGTTAATTATGCATAGATATAAAAATACAACTTAACAAAATTATCGTAAATGCTTTTTCTTTAATTGATATGGGAAAAGATAATCAAATTATTATTGTCTGTAGAGATTTTAATCAGAAGTGAGTTAAAGTTTAAGACTTTTAAAATTTATTCAGTAATTTAGAAATCACATTTTATAGAGAAGTAAAATAATGTAAACTTCACAGAAACTATATATTTTTGTACAAATGGCTTAGAATTATAAAAGGTCTTATTCATTTTTTTGGAATTCAATAAAAGCTACAAAATTAGATATCACCTTCTGTTTAAATGAAAATCAGTTAGTAATTTACTTTAGTTTTATTTGTATATATTTATTTATTCAAATTTATTATACTAAATCCTATCAAATCTAGAGAAAGGCATAGATTATTTTGCTTGATTCCATAAATTTGCTCTAATATTTCAAATATATTACTTTTTAGATTATACAGTAAGATTCAGATTTTCATAAAATATAGCTTTACTTTTCATTAAATTAATATTTTAATTAAATTTTTAAAACTCAATTATTTTCTTTCAAATTTATTAGGAATAACCACTAAGAAACGCATAATAATAAAATCTAAAAAATTTTTTGTCTTAAGCCAAATTAACTTTTTAATAAATATATCGCTATCACATATTTTTCAATTATTTTTTTTAGATAAATTAATTTTTGGAATTGTTAATATGCTCATAATCACAAGATGATCTGGAAATTCATTTTTACTACATTTATTGGAAATTCTTAAAAGTATGTGCTTTGTCATTTATATATTTTAATTTAATTAATATTATTGGGTTTCCTTTATTTCAATAAATATTATACTATTTCTCATTAACACATTTTATATATATCCTGATTATTAAGAAGAATGGAAATTAAGTAGTTAATATTCTTTATATAGTAATACTTTGATTATTGGATATTATTTCCGTGTGGTTTGTAAACAAAACTGTAAAAAATTGGAAAATTTATGAATCTAAATATTTTTCAATTTAATTAAAAATGTAATTTATGAAATACTTATTTTTTTTTGGACATTTTTTTGTATAATGACAATACAATCATATTTTTTATATTGTGATAATTTGAGAAAGTATTTGAATTATTTTCTTTAAAGTTAAAAAACATAAAAATTTATTATATGAGAAGGATTATGTCTAAATATAAATATTTTAAGTTAATTAAATTGATAAACTTTGAAAAATGCATAATGAAATAATTTAACTTTGTTTTTTTCAAATCAACATATTTGCGACAACAGTTGGTTTAATTTGCAGGCCCGCCAAAAGAATTAAAGAAAAAATATATGAATAGATAAAATAAATTTTTTTTCAAATGGTTACTTAGATACCATACTTTTTAATTTCTTCAATCTTTTTTTTTGCTTTTGCCTAGGTGATGCTGATATTGCCATTCAAATAGATTTATTTGCATTCAAAATGTTTTTTAGCTTTGACAATATTTAATAGATAATCTAATGCTTTCTCAGTTAATGTGTTGGATTGTAGATGCAATGCTGTAACACTGTAAAATATACTTAACCTCAATACCTAGATTCTTCAATGACTGATAATAGCTTTGCAAAAAGATCATCAGTTAATTTACATTTACTCATTTTTAAGACTTTGACAATTTTTTTATTTTTGAGCGCTTCATCAATGGCTTAAATCAACTATTCAGTTACATCTAAGATAGAATAACTATTACCAAGAGTAGAAAAATCAATCATTTCAAACTTTTCAAACATGGCTAAGGTATTAATAATTTTATCATGTAATTTAGGATCTTTATTAAATTTTTAGACTTTAGCAAATTTAGATGATGACAATTTATTTCTGTTTGTATTTGGTGCAGAAACTTCTGATGGTTCTGTTTGTAGCATAGTTACACTCCTATCTTTTCTTTAGAATTATCCAGGTGTTAATGTTTGGCTGAAATAATGATTTTTTCCCACATTATATTAAGGAGATGCTGGTTAAGTAGGTTATTAGGAAATGTACATAGATTATGTTAATTTTTCATCTTTAATATCTTAATAAATGATGTCTGAATCTGTTAATTTATCTTCTCTATCCAATAATAATTAGTCTAATTATTTATTTTCTTGAGGAAATTGATTTTTAATGTTCTCTATTGGTACATAAAATTGTTGTTACTCTCCAATCAATTTGACATAAGTGTCCATTTAAGCAAACTAGAATTAGATTTTACTAATTAATTAGGAACCATTTTCTTTGCTATTACCTAGTTCTTTGGCATCCATTTTCAGCTTTTGGTTTTAAATTTTTTCAACAAAGAAATCATTTAATTGATGTCCAGTTTATGAAAGCCATCTATCTGCTTGATCTTTTAGTTATGTAAATTCTGATTCAACTTTTCTCTTGTTATCATCAAATTATATGTTGTAATTATTTGCTATTTTTGATTTTAATTCTTCTTTTATTAAATTTAATTCATTAAATAACTCATTAAACTTCATGTCTATTGATTATAATTTAGCATCCTTTGATTATAATATTTTGGTTTCAAATTCTTTTGCATATATCTTTTGTTCGATTTTAGAACTCAATTCTTTTACAACTTCATATATTGTGGTGATATCATAAAATGTTTATTCCATCTCTTTAACATAAGCATCAATAGGCTTATAATTGTGAAACTTATGATTTCCAAATAAGGCACAATTAACACAAATATATTCTCCATCTTCTTAACAAACTAATTCTAATGGCTTTGAATGAATAGGACATAAATCTCCTTAGTTTTCTTTAATTGGCAATATTTCACATGAATGCGATTAAGAGATGTTCTTATTTAGTTGTATATTTTATTGACTGTCACCTGAAAATTCGCTTACATCTTCTGCTGATATTCTAGGTATTGCATCTTCTGGAGTTACATAGGTATGACATCTTTGAACAGTTCGCTTTTTTCTTAATAAGACTATGATGCTTTAATTGATAGGGAAGAATTTGAATTCTCTGTCAACTTGACATTCGATGCTTAATTTAATTTGTGATTCATTTACTTGTCTTCATTGCAAATCAACTTCAATTGTGATTACAAATATTATGTCACGCATAACTAGCATATTGAATGACCACAGGATGGGAGAACATGAGGACTTCTATCCTGTAAATTAAACTCATGTTAACATTAACAACATTAAAATTCTTTATCCATATAAAATCAATTTATTCTAAAGAGATTATTTTTGCTAATTGCTATTTTCTCTGCAGGCAATCTCTTTATCTCTTCTTTTTTAGCACTCATAGAACGGTTCTTACTCTGAGTGACTTTTAGTTTCATTAAATATTATTCTTCTGCCTCTTCTAATTCTGTGACTTTCATTTTTTTTTCTTTAAATTACTATGCCTCTTTTACTATCTTCATCTTATAATTATATTATCCTTCTTATTATTTCTAGAATTAATAAATATAGTACCATTTGTAATTAAATAATCTTATCTTATTTATGTTTAAGATGAGCTTATCTGATTAGCTTGTGAGATTTGCAATTAGTCCCATAAATTTCATTCCAAGTTTATAATTTTGCCTAAGAGAGATTCGTTTTATATTCCTTATTTAAGAAAGAATGGGTCTCAGAATATACTTATTTTTCTATGCTTAAAATCATATACTTACAGTTTTCTACGTTTTTGCTCCTTTTTAGTCTCTCCATTTTTGATATATAGGCTCTTTATGAATATTCTTCAAGCTTCTATTATTTAATCTCTTCTAAGAATTACTAATCAAATTAATTAGTTTTTAGATATATACCTTCCTCAATTAGTCTTCATTGACTCTAGATTTAGTAGAGATCATTGATTATATTTCATTACTTGTTCTAGAAATATTCTTTTAACAAATCATATCTTAATGTTAAATATGATTCAGTCGAGACTTAAGTAATTTAATGTTATCATCTTGCTATCGGTTTATTTTACGAACTTAATTAAGTTTCATATCCAGTAGCTCTCTCATACTATTGATTGCACTCTTACCCGACATCATTATAATTTATGTTTTAAGATGGGGACTAGGTAGGACTTGTGGTCATATTACCCTGAGAATGAAGGATTCGGTTTAATTTTGGGTACATTAATATTAAAATATTTTATTTTCTAACTCATTTAGAACTCTTATATACCATCTCTCAAATTCTAGTTATAAATTATCTGGCAGTTATTAAGATGGATCAATCAAATAAAACTCTTCTGTATTAAACAAGTGAAAACTTTTGAATTGTTTTCTTAAAGTTTCATCAATTTATTTTAGATAAAATGCAACAAAACCTTTACTAAAAGCAATTTAATTTAATTTCATTTATTTATCTTATTATAAATAATTAAATAAAATTTCTTTTGTATAAGAGTTGGCTTAATGGGGAACTTTAAGAAATACAATTAGCCAAGCTTTTAAAAAGTTAGAATGAAAAATTAATTCTTCAAAATTAATTAAGATCTTTTGAGAGAATATATTTCTTTAGTTTCCTTTATTCTAACATTTTAAGGATATAAATTTGTATTGTTTTTATAAAGGCAGAAATATTCAAAAAATCAAAATGATATATTAAAAAAACTATATCATAAGAACTTTCAATCAATCTTTTATTTTTTTTTTTACAATTATTCATCTTTCAAAACATTAATTTTATGAAAACGAGATTTAAAATGCTATTCTATTTCAAATGGCCCATTCATTGTTTTATTACATAATTCGCAAACCTATTTTTTCCAACTATTTCTTGATTTTTATTTTTGTATTTATTTATACTTCTCTATCATTTCAGGAGTAATAATTTTAATATTCCCTAAATTTTATTAGCTAATTTTAAACTATTCATCCCCTAATTAATCATCTTAAAATTATTAATAAAATAAATTATATATTTTTTAAGCTGGGATTATTACCTACTCTTGAAAAGTCTAAATTGAATCAAATTCTAGTAAAAATAATCTGTTAGCAATAATATCAATTTATGAATTACAAAGAATTCTATTTTTTATCCATTAAATATATTTCTTCGTATACTACATCGTATCATTAATTAGTTTTTCAGCACCTTATTTTAATAGCACTTAAAAATTTTCATCAATATTAGGATATTAAAGTCCTGATTATTTATAATACTAATAAACTTTTTCGAATTAACAATATCCGTTGCCTTTTAATACACCACCTAACTTATTATTTTTATTCTCTAATCTTTCAAATATTCTTAATATTTCTTCTGTTCCTCCTTTTTCTATCATTTGTTATATTCTTTCAGTTACTTTAATCTTTAAATCTTCATTTTTTCTCCATTTTGGCCAAATTATTAGGAAGTTATTACTTCTTAATTTAAATTATTCTGAATTATGATCTAATTAATCAAATTGTAATTATCCTATATTTTGGTAATATTTAATAGAATTCTAAATTCTTCTATGATCATTTGGATGAAATTTTAAAGCTGCTAATGGATCAATTTCTTTTAAATATTCAAAAGGCTCCTTACCATCTAAGTGAAATTCTGCTGCTTATTAAATTTAATTTTCTTCAGTTTCTTAATTAAATAATATTGATTCAATAAAGTTATGAGTGTTCCCAACTAAAACTGGAATCTTTCCTTTAGATTATATCTCTTCTATTTTGTTAATTGTCACTAAAATAGAGCTCATAAAAGTTCTTACTATGTTTCCATTATTTACGATTAAAACCTTCAGATTCTAATTCTAATAAATCTATTCCATGATGCATTTTTATCGTTTGTTCTATAGCCGTAACTTTTGCAGTCATAATATTTGCATCTTTATAAATTTACATAGAATCACAAGATATTATCTCATAATTATCGAGACCCAAATTTAAAGATAAGTTTGTCTTTCCTGCAGCAGTTGTACCTATAATATAAACAATAAAGCCATTATTATTCATGATTTAATTATGTTTATCAAAATTAAAAAATAAATAAAGTTTTTAACATATTTCTAATATTCACATTACTAACTACTTATTCAACTATTAAGTTTACTTTTTAGCAAAATAATTTATATTGTTTTATGATTATAATATTGCTGTTAATACCTATTTCAATGATGAAATCATTATCTTACAAAAACATTGTACACTCTATTGATTGTGGAAATTATATGAAATATCGTTCATTTGATGGCATCAATTACAAGAGTGTAAATTTTATAAATTATTTCAAAGGACTAATATTTTAAAGGTTCCTCANTATTTCTTGATTTTTATTTTTGTATTTATTTATACTTCTCTATCATTTCAGGAGTAATAATTTTAATATTCCCTAAATTTTATTAGCTAATTTTAAACTATTCATCCCCTAATTAATCATCTTAAAATTATTAATAAAATAAATTATATATTTTTTAAGCTGGGATTATTACCTACTCTTGAAAAGTCTAAATTGAATCAAATTCTAGTAAAAATAATCTGTTAGCAATAATATCAATTTATGAATTACAAAGAATTCTATTTTTTATCCATTAAATATATTTCTTCGTATACTACATCGTATCATTAATTAGTTTTTCAGCACCTTATTTTAATAGCACTTAAAAATTTTCATCAATATTAGGATATTAAAGTCCTGATTATTTATAATACTAATAAACTTTTTCGAATTAACAATATCCGTTGCCTTTTAATACACCACCTAACTTATTATTTTTATTCTCTAATCTTTCAAATATTCTTAATATTTCTTCTGTTCCTCCTTTTTCTATCATTTGTTATATTCTTTCAGTTACTTTAATCTTTAAATCTTCATTTTTTCTCCATTTTGGCCAAATTATTAGGAAGTTATTACTTCTTAATTTAAATTATTCTGAATTATGATCTAATTAATCAAATTGTAATTATCCTATATTTTGGTAATATTTAATAGAATTCTAAATTCTTCTATGATCATTTGGATGAAATTTTAAAGCTGCTAATGGATCAATTTCTTTTAAATATTCAAAAGGCTCCTTACCATCTAAGTGAAATTCTGCTGCTTATTAAATTTAATTTTCTTCAGTTTCTTAATTAAATAATATTGATTCAATAAAGTTATGAGTGTTCCCAACTAAAACTGGAATCTTTCCTTTAGATTATATCTCTTCTATTTTGTTAATTGTCACTAAAATAGAGCTCATAAAAGTTCTTACTATGTTTCCATTATTTACGATTAAAACCTTCAGATTCTAATTCTAATAAATCTATTCCATGATGCATTTTTATCGTTTGTTCTATAGCCGTAACTTTTGCAGTCATAATATTTGCATCTTTATAAATTTACATAGAATCACAAGATATTATCTCATAATTATCGAGACCCAAATTTAAAGATAAGTTTGTCTTTCCTGCAGCAGTTGTACCTATAATATAAACAATAAAGCCATTATTATTCATGATTTAATTATGTTTATCAAAATTAAAAAATAAATAAAGTTTTTAACATATTTCTAATATTCACATTACTAACTACTTATTCAACTATTAAGTTTACTTTTTAGCAAAATAATTTATATTGTTTTATGATTATAATATTGCTGTTAATACCTATTTCAATGATGAAATCATTATCTTACAAAAACATTGTACACTCTATTGATTGTGGAAATTATATGAAATATCGTTCATTTGATGGCATCAATTACAAGAGTGTAAATTTTATAAATTATTTCAAAGGACTAATATTTTAAAGGTTCCTCAGAATTTGTTGATTATTATAATGAGCAAGAGACTATAAAAGTAAAAAAGACTGTTGATTCAGAATTGTATTTAACTTAAAGATAAGGATAACATTTTGCTTACTAAATTCCATTAAATAATGATTAACCAGAAACTAAAAATTATATATTGATACTCAATTTTGCTGAAGTACATTATTATCATACAATTAGCTACAATATTAAGAAAGTAATGCAAGAATTTTTGAAGTATATTTTGGGAATAAAATAGTTATNATCGTATCATTAATTAGTTTTTCAGCACCTTATTTTAATAGCACTTAAAAATTTTCATCAATATTAGGATATTAAAGTCCTGATTATTTATAATACTAATAAACTTTTTCGAATTAACAATATCCGTTGCCTTTTAATACACCACCTAACTTATTATTTTTATTCTCTAATCTTTCAAATATTCTTAATATTTCTTCTGTTCCTCCTTTTTCTATCATTTGTTATATTCTTTCAGTTACTTTAATCTTTAAATCTTCATTTTTTCTCCATTTTGGCCAAATTATTAGGAAGTTATTACTTCTTAATTTAAATTATTCTGAATTATGATCTAATTAATCAAATTGTAATTATCCTATATTTTGGTAATATTTAATAGAATTCTAAATTCTTCTATGATCATTTGGATGAAATTTTAAAGCTGCTAATGGATCAATTTCTTTTAAATATTCAAAAGGCTCCTTACCATCTAAGTGAAATTCTGCTGCTTATTAAATTTAATTTTCTTCAGTTTCTTAATTAAATAATATTGATTCAATAAAGTTATGAGTGTTCCCAACTAAAACTGGAATCTTTCCTTTAGATTATATCTCTTCTATTTTGTTAATTGTCACTAAAATAGAGCTCATAAAAGTTCTTACTATGTTTCCATTATTTACGATTAAAACCTTCAGATTCTAATTCTAATAAATCTATTCCATGATGCATTTTTATCGTTTGTTCTATAGCCGTAACTTTTGCAGTCATAATATTTGCATCTTTATAAATTTACATAGAATCACAAGATATTATCTCATAATTATCGAGACCCAAATTTAAAGATAAGTTTGTCTTTCCTGCAGCAGTTGTACCTATAATATAAACAATAAAGCCATTATTATTCATGATTTAATTATGTTTATCAAAATTAAAAAATAAATAAAGTTTTTAACATATTTCTAATATTCACATTACTAACTACTTATTCAACTATTAAGTTTACTTTTTAGCAAAATAATTTATATTGTTTTATGATTATAATATTGCTGTTAATACCTATTTCAATGATGAAATCATTATCTTACAAAAACATTGTACACTCTATTGATTGTGGAAATTATATGAAATATCGTTCATTTGATGGCATCAATTACAAGAGTGTAAATTTTATAAATTATTTCAAAGGACTAATATTTTAAAGGTTCCTCAGAATTTGTTGATTATTATAATGAGCAAGAGACTATAAAAGTAAAAAAGACTGTTGATTCAGAATTGTATTTAACTTAAAGATAAGGATAACATTTTGCTTACTAAATTCCATTAAATAATGATTAACCAGAAACTAAAAATTATATATTGATACTCAATTTTGCTGAAGTACATTATTATCATACAATTAGCTACAATATTAAGAAAGTAATGCAAGAATTTTTGAAGTATATTTTGGGAATAAAATAGTTATTGGTGATCTTGATATCTATTAATAAGTTGGGACAAGAACAGCTTACATAATAGAGATAAGTTTTTAAATTGTTGGAGAATAAATTATATATTAAGGTGAGTAAATTTATGGGGCTATAAGTAAGAATAATGAGTTGATAATCAGATTTAAAGCAATAAAAAGCAAGGCAGCAATTGCTGGAATGATGTTAAAGATTGAAGATAATTAAGTTGAAATAGAAAATATTTAAAACAAAAAAAATACTTTTAAGGCAATAGATGGATTTAAGATATTATCAGATAAAAGTTTGAAAATTATTGAAAATGGAGTTTAAGAAATTTAAAAAGGTCTTAATAACAATAATGCAAATAAATATGATGATACTAATAATAGAAAGAGCTCAAAAAAGGAAATAAAATTATTTGAATTCTTAATTAATTTATTGAATATATTAATTAAATCACCTTTTGGAATTGTACTTGCAAGCAGTTTTTTAGGAATTTGTTTGATAACATTGGTAGAACTATTTTGTAATAAAAAATCAAAATTTAAAGAGTTTAACAAAATTAAGAATTCAAAGTTAGATTGATAATTTCATAATTGTATTTAAATTTGAGTTCAAAACAAATCATTCTTAAAATTTTTCATGATCTTTATTTTATGCCCTATCTACTTTAGCTGAATTTAGTGATAAGATTTTTTCCTCTTATTTAGAAGGTTGTGGCAGAGCTTTAGGATCATAAGGCCATTTTTCTATCATTTCTTAAGGATTGGCCAAATAGCTGCCTTATCCAAATAACAATTTAAATCCATAGAATTTTCCCTAAAATTAAATAAAATAATTTACAAAAAACAAAGGATGTGATTAATCCTTAATTAAATGAAGATAGAAAGCATTTGGAATAGCATGTTTTACATTCAAAATTTATTCATCTGGTCCCTTTATTCCCAAAATATAGGCTCTTGCCTTTCCAGGAATGTAGCCAAAATAAACAAAAGTCCATTAATAAGGTATTAGTTTAAAAGTATGAGTAACTGGTTCAAATGTAGGATCTTTGAGAGTGTAAGTACTAGCCACAATCTCATCTGTCTTAGTAAATAGAGTAAGAGTTCTATCACCAATATATCTTTCATCAGATCCTTCATTGTTTGTTGACAATCTTACAAGACCTCTATATTCATCTGTTAATTCAGGTGTTAGAACAGCATTTTACATCCAGAACCCATAAGAATATTCTATCAAACCTGGTTTATCATTGAAAGCAAATGAGAATTTATCTTTTTTGTCGTTAATTTCATCCGAAACAGTAGTATCTATCATTTAGACAGGCCATTTAAAATCTTCAGCATCAAGTGGTTGGATTGGTAATTTACGATGCAATTTGAGTACCATGTCAACTACTTTCTAACTTTCACTAATGAATGATCCTTCACCTAGGAAGATCCTTGGATCAAATAACCATCCATGAAAACCTCTAAATCCAAACTCTTTAGCTCCTAAGACAAACTTAGAATATCCAGTTAAAGCTTTATGTTAGACCTACAATTCAATATGTTAGGCTTTTTATTATTCTCTAAACAACACCATTCCATAAAATTATCCAGTTTTGTATGCTGCATAAACATAAGTCCAAGCTCCTTCTAATTCTGTGTATGGTAATTTAGCATCAACAGCATTAGATTATTTGAGAACATCATAAGTACTAAATTCATAATTTCCAAGTGTTAGAAATGCTGCCAATACTCTATCTCCTAATTCACTTTTATCTTAGTCTTCCTTATTAGATGAGAATCTAAATATATTATGTCTTTCTTATCTTTCAGTAAGAGTAGTTGGAAAAGAAATTAACCATCTGGTCCAAACACCTATAGAATATTCATCAACAGATTCAACTTCAGTTGTAAAAACTTATGTTATAGCTTTTTCAGTTTCTAATACTCCATCTTCTTTAGTGAACCACATATATTTCTAGTTAGTTGCCAAAGCTCTATAATTTGTCAAGATATCTTCATAACCTCTCTTTTAAATACTAACAAAAGCACCTGATCCATATTAAGCTACCCACTTTTATAGATCACCTTAGAATCTTTTAGTAAATGGATCTTTGGCTACGTAGATTGCAGTATAATGTGGTACATAATGTTAAACTCCTTTAAAAATAAGAGGTTTGTCTTAATCAAATAGATGTAATAAAGCATGTACTTCTTATATGTCTTCATTATATCCCATATAAATATATATCCATGCCTTTTTATTATGGCCTAGTTCCACCTTTTCTTCTAAGAATTTGGCCTCATTCCAATCTTTCAATCCATGAATGGTATAAGTGGATAGTTTAATAGAATCCACACAAATAGAGGCATGTAGTGTTCTATCTCCTTGAATTCGTTTATCATTTAAATGTGCGTTATCATTATTAGTAACTCTAAATAAAATTTAACAATCGTTAGCATTTTATCCTTTAATTTCGGCAATTTTGAGCCAACCACTAATTGAATATTCTCCAACTTATGACCAAGTATCACCTCTTAATTCAGCACCTCCAACATCATCAGCTACAGTTTCGAATTTACCAATTAATTCTTATTACCCATGCTTTTCTTTATGAATAAAGTCAACAGTCAATTACTAATCAAGAGCATAAGAATTATCAATTGTTTTCTTTACATCTTCTACCAATCCATAAAATGATCCAACTCCAAAATTGACTGCCATCTTACACATTAGTCCTTAGAATCCTGGAATATCTGGTTCACCTCCAATATGTAAAATAACAAAGTCTCCTAATGGCTTATGCAATAAATCTTAATTTTTTATTTACTATATATCTTTTCCATCATATACAAAATATGAAGCTTATTAACTCACTCTCTAATAACCCATATAAATATAATTCCATTATCCCTCTAATTTAGAATAAGCTATTGTTCTTAATTCATTAGGTGCATCATCATTTAAATCATAAGTAGAAAATTGATAATGACCTTAAACAATATGGGAAGCCAATATTCTATCTCCCATAGCTACTTTACCAACTTCTATTTATTCATTTGATGTTAATCTAACTAATTACATTTCCTATTATAATTTATATTATCTTTCAGGCCATGCTTATAAAAACCTGCACCAAAATCCTATGCTATATTCTTACATGGATTCAATTGGTTTATCTGGTTCATCTACAAATTTAATAGTTTAAGATTAACCAAGTACTATCTTCCCTGCATTTTCCCAATTATTCTTCTTTTCTTATGAGAATAATTTAGTAGATAGTAAATAAATAGGTAATTACAAAAAGTTTTCTTTACGAAAAGAACCCTCACCAAAATTCAATGTTAATTATGCTACTCTACTATTAAAATTCTCCAATAAACCATCTCTTCCTACATACAACCAAAACTTAGAAGATACAGCATGTAATATAGGTTCCAATCCTTTATTTTCATGAGCATCAGCTTTCAAATAATATTAAACTTTTCTTTCCTTCTTTGAATATGCAAAATAAGCAAAACTCCAAATTTCAAGTGATTATTTAGGTATGTTACATTCAAAAGGAACATTCATTATTGAATCTTATAAAGTGTAAGTACTAAATAAAGCAGTTCCAATATGAGATAACATTAATACTTTATCACCAATCTTTTAAGCATCATTTTCTGCTCTGTTAGCTGATAATCTATAAATCACTTAATTGAGCTTTACTGGTGTCTTGAACCATCTGAACCACATTTAAACTGAATATTCTCTCGCTTCTTAATCAATAATGACAGGGTTATCAATTTTAAGTTTTTAAGCGTCCTATTTACCAACAAATAATTCATAAATTTTAGGAACTGACAAAATATCTGGTTTTGGATCCTTATTCTTAATTCTAGCCATAATTCCTGCTGTATTTTCAATAAATGCTCCAGGTCCTAAATTGAATCTTACTGTAGTGATTTGCCCATTAAAGTTTGGATAATATTTACCAGCATGTCCTATTGTTAATTACAAATAATTTTAGAGTAAATTATGTACTACATCCATTTATATTCCAGGGGTGATTTCTCCAAATGAAGTGAAGGCTACTGCATGTCCTAATGTCTAAGAAATTCTTTTATAACTAAAATAAATGTATGTCCATTCACTTTCTGATTCTAATGCATAAGGTATATTTCCATTCACATTGTTTGAAGGTGGTTGTACATTATAAGTTGAAAAATGATAAACATTCTTACCCATCAAAACCAATAAAACTCTATCTCCTGGTTGATCAAAATCTTTATAATCTTTTTAACTAGTCAATCTAGCCATACCCATCCATTATGGTTACTAATATAATACACCTTTATTTGCAAAATGTTAAAATCTAGCCCAAAATCCATAACCATATTCACTTACTCCTTAAAGATTTAATTTATCACTTTATTCAAATTATACATGCAAAGGAACTTCTTTACCATTTGCTGAACATTCAAGAACTTATTCTTCATGATGAGCTTCTTATCCTGCCTATTATAATTTAATATGATCAGTTCCACTTATAAATCCAAAATGTACTTTAATATTTTCATCACTTTCAAATCCACCTTCTCTAAAAGATCCTTATCCAATATTAATTACCCATGTTTTAATTTATCCTTAAAATTTATCTTATTCATTTCCAATTATTATACTAAAAACAGCCAAATAAAAATGATTAATATCATCTAACAAAAACTTATCATCATTAAATATATATTTGATATAACCGAATGCCTTCTTTAATGGAGTTGAATAACCAAAATAAACATAAGTCCATTAATCCCAATACTCACCAAATTACTATTCTTTTACTATTACTTAAGAACAATCTTCACCTTTACAATTATAAGTAGAGTAAAGATATGATATATCTGATCTTCGAATCTTTAGAGTTTCCTCGTTTTTTCCATCTAAATCAGCCAACCTCTTTTAAGCCATTGTGATAATGTGAGACACTTTACCAATCTTTTGTACACCACTCCATTTAACCCAACCAGAAATAGCATATTCCTGAGCTCCTTAGAATTTATCAAATTAAAATTAATTAGAAGGCTCATTTACTGGTGTACCAATTAATTATTGAGTTTATCTTGAGACTGGATGTATTTAAGCTTTTTCTGGCAAAGTATTTTAAGTATATAGCCTTAGATTATCAGAAGTTGACACAAATGCTCCTGGTCCAATCGAACATTGAATCTTAGTCATTTGACCATTAAAGAATGGAGCTTAAGATTTACCAACTACAAATTCAACATATTCCAGAATGTAATCGTGGAAAATATCAAAAGAAACTTCCTTAATTTCTCCATCTACACCAAATTAGACATATCCTCTTGCTGTGCCCTTATCTCCAAATCTTTTATATCCAAAGTAAATATAATTCCACTATCCTTCTAATTTTGTAAATGCTATTTAATCCTTAGTATTATAAGTATAGAATTCATATGCTTCTTTGCTTAAGGTCACTGCGAGAGTTTAATCCTTTACTGTTTATGCTCTAGTATTTGCTCTTTTTAATTTACCATCAACTTATTCAATCAAATATGGCTCTGTACCCAATCTAGCAATATTATGAACTGCTCCTCTTTATACTAAATATTTAGGCATTGTACTCAACCATCTAGTCCACATTCCAAATGAATATTCACTTTAACCATTTATTCTTAATTTCTCATCATCATGAATCAGAATCTTATCTACTAATGCGTTTTCTGCATCATATGCACAATCTCTTACTACATTAGGGTCTAATGCATCTTCTTTATATTGTATTGGTTTGATTAATTAAAATACATTCATGGCACCATCTCCATATTAAAACTATTAACCAAAATTAAGTGCTTATCTGTATGCCCCAGGTCCTAAGTAGACTCCTACATACCCAATTTTACCATTAAATGGTGAAATATAATCATCTCCCCCCAAAGTAAAATATAATTTTGTAATCAATTTATGTTAAATTGGATCGAAAGTAATTTCATCAGATTTTCCTGGTCTTATTAATGCTCCATACACTTTCATTTTATCGTTATCATAAGCCATATAGCCATATTACCATATATAATTAGGAGATTAAACTGTTTTTGATAAATATATTGATCCTTTTGCTTTATTACCTTCAATTGTATAGGTATTAAAGTACACAGAACTTTTAGATCCTCCTCCGTAAATATAATGCATTTCTAAAGACCTGTCTCCTAAAATTCCTTTTCCTTAAGATTTCTTTTCGTTTGATCTTAAATTAAAGATTTAAAAAGTATTTTCACTATCAACCTTTAAGTCATCAATCCATCTAAACCAGGCTGCAACACTGTATTCTTCAATTATTAATTAAGATTCTTATGGATCTAAGATAACAGAATCACTTGCTGTATTTGCATTAAATAATTATGGAGTTGAGATAACTTCTAAATCTATTAAATTTGTAACTTATTAAGGAATGTTTGAAATAGTCTTTATAATTTCTCTAATTTTAGCTTCTGTGTCTATAAAGGCTGGAGCATCAATATCATAAAATATATTTGCAAATTGACCATTTAATCCTTCATATGACATATGTTTTCCACCAATTATTAGTTTAAAGTATTGAGGAGGTACATGTCTGCATTAGATTTCACTCCTTAAAATTTTATTATTTTCTCCATAACCAATCACATATCCTACTGCTGCTTTTTTAGCAGTGCTGTAAGAAAATGTGATGAAATACCACATGCTTTCTAAATCTTCATTTAAAGCCACAACTTAATCTTTCACTTTTTTCTTTTCTTAATGATCATAAGTTGAAAAAACAAAGGAATTCTCTATCATAAATATGGCTAAGGTTCTGTCCCCATAATAAGTCAAGTCCTTATATTCTTGATTTGAAGTTAGTCGAGATAAGAAGTAATAGGTTTCTGGTTTTCTTACATGGGTTTTTGGTGCATTTGAAGTATATCTAATCCAAAATCCATATCCATATTCATCGGAATCCTAAAGTAGCTCTCTATCCGCAAATTCAAATTATTCAGCAACATTACCATCATAGGAAGATTTGACATATTTTGTAAAAACTGGTATATTGACCTTTTCTGTCTTTGGCCTAGTATTAACTTTATGTTTTGGTGGTTCATATTAAGTTGGTTCATTAGGATTGAACTCTTCTTTCAATGACTAAATTTTTAAAGATTTCTCATCCTTGACTTCCACTTGATTTTTTTCAAAACCTATACTATCGATTTTAACTTTTTCCTCTTTTAAAAGATCATTAACCACATTTCCTATGTTTTATTTTGTTTAATCTTCCTAATTTTATACTTTTTTATCATTATTCTAATCCAAATCTTTCTTTTGACCTTCTTATTATTTTTATTCGTCTTTATCAACTTTATTTTCAACTTCAGATTAGCTTTGAGTATCATTAGACTTGACTTAATCAGATGAAGATTTTTCTTTAACAGAGTTTTCTGATGGCACTTTTTGTTTAGCATCAACCTTCGATTCATCTTTTTAATCTTTTTGCTCTTATTTATTTATTGAATCTTATCCACTTATCTAATCTGTTGGCAATGTTTTCTAATCCTTATTCTCATCTATAACATTATCTAATAAATCATCAAATTAAGAATCTTAAATTATAAGTGATTTTTTTTATTCCGGATCAATCATATTCACTTTATGATAAACATTCATCTCAGGATCATATTCATAATATATTATCTAATCTCCTTCTATTTCATAATAAATATAGTCTTAATCATTTTCTAATTATAGATTTTAATCTATTTCACTTTAATACTCTTCATCATTATTAAGTCTATCTTCTTCCAACCATTATTCATTTTCTTGTTCAGTATATTCTTATTTATCTCCATCTTTTTCATAGAGATAATCATTGCCTTAATCACCTTAATCATTTGTAGAATCATCATAAGAAGTAAAATTAGTTTAAGAATCTTCTGAAGAATTTATCAAACTATTACTATCATTTTGCTCAATATCCAGATCGATTTATTAGTTACCTATCGAATTTAGGTAGTATGCTTTAGTCTTTGGAATTTAAGTACTTGTCTAAGAAATAACTTTCATATTCCCTTCAGAATCTATTGTGTATTCTGTTACCTCCTCTACAGAAATTTCTTCCCAAACTTCTTCTCCATCCTCATTTTAAACAACTTTTTTCTATGATTTGCTGCTACTAGATTCTTAAGAACCTTTTGATGATGATTATTTAATGCTTGATGAAGAAGATGCTTACCTACTACTTTGACTTTAAGAGGCTCCTGTATTAAAAGTGCTGCTTGAGCTTCCTTTTTTAGTGCTACTACTGCTAGAACTACTACTTGAACTACTGCTTGATTTACTGGCTGAGCTTTTGGCTGCACTGCTGGATGAACTGCTGACTGAACTGCTGGATGACCCTCCTGATACAACTTACTTTTAGTTTCCACTGCTTGAAACACTTCTGGAATCTTATGCAGAACTCGATACCTACTCTCTTGATTCAGCTTCAGAATATTTTTAACTTAATCTATCTGCTACTGATTGACTAACTTTTGATTTACTTGAAACTTCTTACTCAGTTTATTATTAAGTATTTGAAATGCTTTAAGAAGATTATTATGAATTACTTCCACGATTGGTTCTGCTTGCTTAACCTGAAGAACTAGATGAGCTTGATGAACTTGCTGAACTTGCTGAACTTGCTGAACTTGCTGAACTTGCTGAACTAGATGAACTTGCTGAACTAGATGAACTTGCTGAACTTGATGAACTAGATGAACTGGCTGCACTTGATGAGCTAGATGAGCTAGATTTTTTAGATGAGGTCGATGATGATCCTGATGCTCCTGATGCTCCACTTATTTTTTTTGTCTTTTTAACTCTTCTTCTAACCATTTTTTTTACTTTTCTAACTCCACCTTTTTCATCTGGTTCATCTACTTCAATTTATTCAAAGATGTCTTCTTCACTTGCGTCATCTCCATATCTAGGAGGCTTATAGTCAGAGGATTATGATTCTTATTGAGAAGATTGATTTTTTGTTGAAGTAGAAGAACTACTTCCAATAGCTTTATCAGATTGGCTACTTATTGTTGATTAACCTTTTGTACTCGATGATTAAGATTTACTAGTTTCAGTTTGTGACCCGCTTGCCTTTTTAATTTTTTTCACTCTTCTTTTCACTATCCTTTTAACTTTTCTAATTCCTCCCTTTTCATCAGGTTCATCTACTTCAACTTATTCATAAATATCTTCTTCACTCGCATCATCATTACCTTTCAATTAGTTTTATGTTGTTTCATCCTATTTTTATTGAGTTGATTTGTTCTCATCCTATTAATTGGTTTTTCTAGCTTTTTCACTTTCTGCTTGTTATGTTTAAATTTGCTTTTAGCTTTGTTAAGTTTCTTAAGAAGTTTTTTGTTCAGATTTTGATGCTTCCTACTTAGAGGTTTCATTATTTGTTGATTATCTATTCCTGTTTTCTGCTGTACTTCCAGTAGCTTTTTTAGATTAACTACTTATTGTTGATTAACTTTTTGTACTCGATGATTAAGATTTACTAGATTCACTATTTTATCCACTCGTTTTCTTTGTCTTTTTTACTCTTCTTTTCACTATCCTTTTAACTTTTCTGATTCCTCCCTTATCATCGGTTTCATCTACTTCAACTTATTCATAAATATCTTCTTCACTTGCATCATCATTCTCTTTCACAGGTTAATCATTTTATTCATTTTCTTATTAGTCATCTTATTTTTTATTGGTTTTTTCATCTTCGTCCCTTAATTATTTTTATTTTTCTTTTTCTTATTATTTATTTTTTTCTTATGAATTTTATTATTATGTTTACTAATTCCCTATTCTGCCATCTGAAGAAGCTCCAACTCCTTCAGTTTTCACTAATTCTCCTTCAACAGGTTCTTCATCATCATCCGGAGGAATCTCTAATGGAACATTTTTGTTTTTATCTTTTTCTTATTTTTTAGTTTCTTCTTTTTCTTTTTCTTTTTCTTATTATTTATTTTTTTCTTACGAATTTTATTATTATGTTTACTAATTCCCTATTCTGCCATCTGAAGAAGCTCCAACACCTTCAGTTTTCACTAATTCCCCTTCAACAGGTTCTTCATCATCATCCGGAGGAATCTCTAATGGAACATTTTTGTTTTTGTCTTTGTCTTTTTCTTATTATTTATCTTCTTCTTATTCTTTTTCTTATTATTTATCTTATTCTTATTATTTATCTTCCTCTTATTCTTTTTCTTTTTCTTATTATTTATCTTCCTCTTATTCTTTATCTTTTTCTTATTATTTATCTTCTTCTTATTCTTTTTCTTATTATTTATCTTCTTCTTATTCTTTTTCTTATTATTTATCTTCCTCTTATTCTTTTTCTTTTTCTTATTATTTATCTTCTTCTTATTAATTTTCTTCTTATTTACCCTCTTATTCATTCTAATCATCTAGTTCTTAATCTTCAGGTTTTTCATTTAATTATTGCTAAGTTTGTTCAGAATTATTATTGGTAGAAGGATCTGCTTCTAGTTGAGTTTCTTCATCAGCTGTGCATTCTTCAGGCTCATCAAAATTATTTTGATGTTCAGAGTCTGGGCCAAATTCCCTTTCTATTATGATATCTCTTGGCTTTTTGTCTTTTTAATCGGAATCATTTTCTTATTTTTATTCATCCTCTTCTCCTAGAATTTAATTACTATCTGGACTTTATTCTATCTCAATACTTTACTCCTCTGGCGACTCATTTTTAGGATCTTCTTCCGGTTTTTCCTCATTTTAATCTCCCTCCGGTTTTTCCTCATTCTACTCTTCTGTTTAATTTTTTGGGGAGTCATCCTCTTCTCCCTGAGGGCACACTTCATCATCATTATAAAAAATAGGTTATCTGTTGTATGGTTAATATCTATTGGGTTTAATTTTAGTGATATCTTATTAATTAATTGATGAACTTTAACTATAGCGATATTCTTATTCATAATTCTTTTATTTATTTTATGCTTATTAGTTAGTAATATCTCTTCGATTATTTCTATTATAATTCTCCTAGCACTCTCTTTTTTTCATTTATAAGTCTCTTATTTTTTGTCTCAATCTTGTTGGTTATTTAAATTAAGAGCATTCATTTAAATTTCTATTTAATTAATATTTCATGTTCTCTAAATAATCCATAATTCTATTTGCCATAGCAACTCGCTCTGTATAACCTACAGTGTTTTAGAATTATCTCATATATTCTATACATTAATCTAGATTTCCTCTTGCCCATTAATGATTTAATTAAGCAAGAGACATTTCTAATAAGGAATTTTAAAGGCTTCCAGTTATTTGCAAGAACATTCCTAAATGTTTCAAATACATACTTTATTATTTGCTATCATCAATATGCTTTGCTTTGTCAACCAATTTAATAATTTAGTCAATAATGGTTAAATCCCTTTGTAATTAATCTCGATGTTCAATAATATCAGCCCATTTAGATAACTCTACGATAGTGTAATCATAGAAATCAAATCCCATTTAGCAGGTGAATTTATTTGTATTTATATCATTGGCATCTTAAAAGCTTAAGCCTTGAACTAAATACAAAATAAATACTGCTCTCTCGAGTTCTAAAATGCTAGGCTTTCATTTCTACTTAAGTTGCATAGGTTATTGCAATTATCGTAAGTGTTAAGATGACTTTATTCATCCAATTTCTATCCGTTTTTAAATAAAATATTAAAGAAAATATGTATGAGAAAATAGAACGGATAACCACATTATCAGGTAACAAAAAATACTTATGAACATTTCCTTTTTTAAATTGATTGCAAAATATTATGACTAAAGTATTCTTAATTTTACATGAATATAAATAAATCTATATATTTCAATATTAATATCTAAGTCAATAATCAAACTTAAAGTATTTTTAAGGTATGATTTAAAAATGTTAGAATTATTTTTTTTATTGAATTGAAACCAATATTTTTTGTTAATACTCATTAAATTTTATTAATTCCAGTTCTTATAATAATATTAGATTGATTTATAATTTCCAAATTATTCATCTTAATATTTTTTTTTCTACATTAATTAGAGTTATAGTTAATTTATATTCTTGTTGATTAATTACGTAAAACTACTCCAACAAAAATTATAAAGTGTTTACAATTCCTCAGACAGATTTATTGTTGATGTATAATCTTTTTTCATTTGATTGACGTAACAAATAGTTTTTTAAAATATATTTTGAGATTTAGAATGTTTAATTCTAATCTAAGACTAGATTCAATTTGAATCCAATCATCATCTTTATTTTTTTGAATTCTACATCTAGAATATCAATTAAGAAATGATTGGCCTTTTTTTGAAAAGTAAATCTATTTGATAATCTATTTGAATTATTTTATAAATATACTTATCAAATTCTTAAATCAATATGATATTAATTTTTAATGGTGTTCTCAGCTATCTAATAACAAAGGCAGTCCTTAGCTAAATAATTCAAATATTAAAATATTTATATTTAAATAATTGTAGATAACAGCTCAATTATAATCAAATCAAAAAACTTTTTGGCTTAATTATAAAAGACCATAATAATACAATAATAATAGTAAATGTTGAAATTTATTCTTTAATTAAGTAAACTACAATAATATATACTGGGAAGATTTATTGATTAGGGATAGATATTTGAACTACTATAAAAATTATCAATTATTTTATTACATAGCATACATTAATATTCTCTATTTAAACTTATGTTAGTTAAAAAATTATTTAGAGGGTATATAATTATAAATTTATCTCATCTATCAAATATTTTAATTATATATTTCAATTAGAAGATTTTTTCTTTCTCATTTAAGAATGTTTCTAATAATTAGTAACTTTTGAATCAAGAATATATTCTTATGAATTTAAGCATTTTAACTAGATTTTTAACTTAAATATCTTTATTCGACAATGTTTTCTATACTCTTGCTATGGACTGAAGTAGGAACTTATTGCTAAAAAAGGCTAGGTATAGTATGAATTTAATTAATGGTTTTATTATAAATAATAATAATAGTATAGCGTTTTTAATTCATTATTAATTAATGAAGACTAGTCGTTTTTATTGTTTAACTATGTAATTTTTTTATTGATAATAACAATAATTATCTTATGAAGACAATTTTGCTCATTGCCTTGATTGCAGTAGCCTTCACAGCCAGAGTGTAAGAGAGAAATCTAGCCAAAATTACAACAGACCTCAAAAAGAGCACATATGGAAGTGCATTACTTCACTTAGTTGAACTCCATTCGATGGCAGGAGGTCCAGTTTAAGAATTGATTGATGCTATTGAAGAACTTATTAATGATCTTGAAGAGGAATTAGAAGAATTAGAATTCAATTTCTAAGTCAGAACCAACGAACACAATGCATTAGTTGTTAGCCTCGAATAGGATATCTAAGATGCTGTTATTGGTAATAATAAATATAATTTCTTTAGATGTTAATAATACATAAGACACATTAGATAATTTGTTGTTCCCAAGAAGAGAATAGCTCCAAGTTAGAATTGAATAAATTTAAGAAAACTAAGAAGCCAATAGAAAGAACTACGATGAAGCTGTTTTAGTAAGAGAATAAGAACATGAAGATTTTGAATTCTAAATTGCTGAATTGAATGATGCAACTGCTGCTGTTGATGATGCTCTTGCTCTTCTTTAAACCCTTACAAATCCATCACTTCTTTAGGTTAAAAGATTCTAAAATTCATTGAAAAACATTGAAGCAAAGATTAAGTCAAGATCCAAGATGGCTCCAATGATCAAGGCACTTATTTCTTTAGCATCAAACTAAAACTTTTCTGATTAAGGAATTATTGGTCAAATCGTTGATGCCCTTAATGAATTCAGAAATGCTATTGTTGATTCAATCAATGCTTAAACAGCTGCTGAAGCCTAAGCTTAAGCTGATCACGAAGAATACCTTGAACAATTAGATGATGAATATGCTGAATTCTAAAGATAAATTAACAGAGTTAATGTTGATTTGACAGCCACCAATGGTAATTAAACAATTTAATGACATTATAGAAAAGATTGATTAAATGACCGAATTCAGAGACTAAAGAGATGCTGACAGAAAATAATACACTGCAGAATTAGAATTAGAAAACAATACCTATGCAGAAGAAACCGATACATACACCAATTTAAAGAATGAATTCACCAGAGAACTTGGAATCAGTGAATAAGCTTTATCTGTTGTCTAAAGCGCTGATTTCTCAAACATCTAAGTTTGATAAGAATGAATTATACAGGTTTCTTCTTATTCAACCATAATTATTTTTCCATTTTCTTTTTTTGGATCATTTCCTTAATATATATTTGATATTAAAACATTTATAAATATTTCCTATTATTAATCAATTTAAGATATTTCCTAATTATTAATACTTATCTATTATTATTTTATTATTATTTAATTGCTATCTTAATGATAATTACTTTTTATCTTGTTCGATATTGATACAAGCTTCATTATTAATAAATCTTGGAGACTTAAACAATGATTTAATTTTATTAAGATTCATTTTGATCATAGTGTTGATATTCTTAATATAATTTTTATTTTTTAATTTAAAAATGTCAGAAATAAAGAGTACTTTGTAATCTAATATCGTTCATATTTTAGAGAACAAACCAGCAAAGAACATTGAAGGATTTAGATAATAATAATTGGAAGTATTTATTATATTGAAAATAGAGTAGAAGAAAATTAATAGAAGAATTCAAATAACTATATATTTATGATGAAAAAGGAAATTTAAGAGGAGATTGTAAAATAAAGAAATTCGTTGATGGTAGCAGATATGAAGGATAATTATCAAATGATAAAAGAAGTGGTAAATAAAATAATTTGATCTAGATTAGGGTATGGAATATATTACTATAATAATGGTGACATCTTTTTGGGTGAATGGTTTGATGATAAATTTAATGGTTCAGGACACTATTTATTTGCAAATGGTATTAAAGTTAGTAATCCTTAGGTGAAAGATATTCTGGAGTATTATCTGATGGTTTGAAACATGGACATGGAAAATATTATTATTTAAATGGGAATACTTATGATGGAGATTGGTAAAATGATAAAAAGCATGGAAAAGGAAGATATGTGTATTATAGTACAGATGAATATTATGATGGAGATTGGAGAGAAGGAGAAAGACATGGAAAAGGAGAGGCTGGTTATGCATATGGGGATGTTTATGTTGGAGATTTCAAGAAAAATGAACGCAATGGTTTTGGAATAATGAAATTTAATGATGGAGCAAGAGTAGAAGGAAATTGGGTTAATGGACAATTATGTGGGTAAGCTAAAATGTAATATCCTAATGGAGATACTTATGAAGGAGAGTGGGATAGAAATTAAAAGAATGGAGATGGAGTTTATACTATGTGCAATGGATAATCAATATATAAGGGTTAATTTAGAAATGATTTATGGAATGGGCTTGGAATATTGTAATATGAAAATGGAGATCACTATAAAGGATATTTCAGAGATGGTAAGAAAGATGGAGAAGGAGAATTTAAATATGCATCATCAAGAGATACTTATTCAGGATAGTTTAGAAAGGATTAAAGAACAGGATAGGGAGTAATGCTATATGCAAATGGAGACAGATATGAGGGAGAGTGGTTAGCTGATAAAAAACATGGAAGAGGAAAGTATACTCATGCTTTAACAGATGACATATATGATGGAGAATGGGTTTAAGATTAGAAACATGGTAAAGGATAATATATTTTTGGGTAATTATATAATTTAATTTATAAGAAATGGAGATTAATATGTTGGAGATTGGTTATAGGATAAAATGAATGGCAAAGGAAAATTCATAACAAAAGAAGGCATTGTATATGCAGGTGAATTTAAAAATCATAGATACATAGGTCCAATTAATTGATCTCAGTTATTTATTAAGTATAATGATGTTTATCTTTCTGTAATTACTAAATCAATTTTTATAAATTCTAATACTTTTCATATATAATAGTGCTTAATTATATTGTTCATATATCTTGTTTATAATATTATATATTGGATGTATCCTTTAATGTTTCATTAATAAAAGAAATTTTAATATGGTCATATTCCAAAAAAAATTGTCTAAATATAGCCCTTAAAGGTAATAAATATATAAAATTCAAAATTGAGATTCAATTAGAGAAAAAAAAATAAAAATATACTTTCTTTAACTTAGTCTCATTTAGGATACTTAAATAAAATGAATAAGATAATCAACAAATTAAAAATTGAATTGTAAATAATTTTATATTGTAAACTTATATAATTATTTAATATTTTAAACTTATTTGAAGCATAATATAGTTCATAAATTAAAGAAAAAGCGTAAAAGATTCCTGAGCCAATTTTAATTCTATTATTATAATTTTAATTTTTCTTTTTCTTTTTGTTCATATTTATTATAAAGATATTCTGTCAAATTTATTAATTCAAAACAATAATGCCCTATTAATAATTTATAGATAATGGATAAATCTCAATGTTAAGGATTAAAAATATCACAAATTCCCCATGGAAATTTTCTAAATTGAATATTATTTATTACCTCCCATAAATAAAATGATTTCCAACTTAAAATTATTCAATTGAACTAATTATCACATAAGGTGGAGTCATCCCAAATTAACTTTTTTCTTGATAACTATTGTTGCATTAGCATTTAAATAAATCGATATGATATTCATTGATCAAATCATTAAATTACTATTTCAATTGAATAATCTCATTTTTTGTGTATGAATCACCTTTTGCTAAGATTGGTATGACATTAACTAAACCGCTAATCTTTTTTAAGGCTTATAGATCTTCTGCTTAAATTCTAGGTCCTGAAAAAAAGTAGAGGCAAACATGAACCCTTTCATCAAGGTCTTATTATGATAATTTTTAAAATTTCTCTTTGCTTTCATATTATTATGTCTATCTTGTTTTATATGTATTAAATTGATTATGAATATAGGTACAAAGTAACTTTAACCATGAACGTAAACCATATTAATGTCTAAAGCCAGGAGTATCAATAAATTTGATATTTAAAGTTAAATCATTATTATAGATTTACCCTTGAATATTATATGATGGATACCTTAAATTTCTTATATTTAAAGAGTGGAATCTCTAATTATTTGTCCAGTTCCAAGTTTTTTTTTTAACAAAACATCAATAAATGTCGATTTTCCCAATCCTGATTATCCAACAACCATTATATTTAAATAGATCTATATTATTCAATATAATACTGGTTTCTGATCTTATATTTTTTTCTATTCAATTAGGGCTTTAATTTCTGATCCTGGTTATGAATCTGCAATTGATTCATAAATTTAGGATTCATATTCTGATTTTTCAATATTTTGTTAAATAATAGGTAAAGGCTATTTAAGTGATGTTGATTTACTAGATTAGTTAAACATTTACTTTTCTTAATATTCTGAAATTTCACTTGCTTGTTCATCAAATTATGTAATTTTTTACTCCTATTATTTATAAACACTTGGTTGTCCATTGATAATTGAAAAATCTTCTGTTCTTTAAGAATTATCTAATATAAGTCAATTTAAATATTATTACAAGAACACTCAAGTTTAGTTCTTTTAAAATCTTACATTATAAAAATATATAAATTTATAGATGAGAATTTATGATTCAATATCTATATTGTTTTATATTCATAATTATATGATGAAAATGGAATACACATTTAAAACACAAGTCTATGTTAAAATATAAAAATTTAATTTAATTTCAAAATTTGAAGTAGAAAGAATATTGAGATTCTGCTTATATGTTAATATCTTGGTTCTAAATGTGTTTATATTTTATTGTAACATTCATATTTAATTTAAAAAACTTATGAATGATATCTTAATCAACATCTCTATAATTATCTAATCAACAACTCTAAAATTAGTTAAAATACATAATTTTTTATTTCAAATTTAAATAAAATAGCTTCTATTATGATGTACTCTTATTAAAGCATTTAAAAACTAAAGTAGATGTTTAAGGAGTCAAAATAAAAAATATAGATGAGTTTTTAAAAAAAGAAATAAATTAAAAAAAATAATAAAATAAAAGTTTCTAGAAACATCTTTTTTTTTATAATGAAAATTTATCAAAATTTTCAAACTATTTTTAAATATTTTAATAGATGTTCTCAGGTGGATTTCGTGGTTTCCCTGGAGGCTTTCCATTTGGTGGTATGGGTGAAGAAGAATCTTCTGCTAGTTAAGGAGAAGTAGACAATAAGACTTTATATGAACTCATGGGAGTACCTCCTTAAAGCACTACAGATGATGTCAAAAAAGCGTTTCGTAAAAAGGCTGTAAAGGAGCATCCAGATAAAGGTGGTGATCCAGAAAAAGTATTCATTAAATAACAAATAATAGTTTAAAAAATTGACTGAGGCATATGAAATTCTTTCAAACCCAGAAAAAAAAGACCTTTATGATCGTTTTGGTATGGAGGGTGTTAAAAATGGTGGAGGCGGTGGAGATATGGGAGATATCTTCAGTCATTTCTTCGGTGGTGGCGGAGGAAGAAAAGAATAAGGTCCTAAAAAAATGAAAGCTAAGATGAGAGAATAATCAGTGACACTTGAAGAAGTATTTGAAGGAAAGATGATTCATTTGAATCATAAAAGAAAGAGAGTTTGTGATGGATGCGAAGGAAAAGGTGGTGCAAATGCAAAAACATGTACAACATGTAAAGGAAGAGGAATGGTACAAAAATTATAGATGATTGGTCCAGGAATGTATTCCTAATCAACAGGACCATGCAATGATTGTGGTGGTGATGGAACAATATTCCCAGAAAAAGATAGATGCAAGAAATGCAAAGGAAATAAAGTAATAGACTAAGAAAAAGTCATTGAAATTCCATTGGAAAAAGGTGTACCTGATGAACATGATTATCAATTTTATGGAGAAAGTGATGAATTGCCAGGAGTTATGGCAGGAGATTTATATGTTAGAATTAAAATAAAGAAACATGATGTTTTTGAAAGAAAAGGTGCTGATTTATATATGAATAAAAAAATTACCTTAGTCGAAGCCTTAACAGGAACACAATTTACATTGAAATTCTTAGATGGATCTAATTTACATATTTCCACTAAGCCAGGAGAAATAATCTCACCAGGTAATTAAAGAGTATATTATTTAAGCTCAAATAAAGACAGTAAAAAAGAAGGGTATGCCTTGTTACAAAGATGCAATGAGTGAAGGAGATCTCCACATTAGATTTGATATTGAATTCCCTCAACCTGGATAACTTAAAAATGAATAAATAGAATAATTAAAGAAGGTATTTTTTGTAGTTATTTTTAAGGTTTTACCAGGTCCTAAATAATAATAAAAACTTGATGCTAAAAAGACCTTGTTTTTAGAAGAATATGATGAAGCTCATGTAAATTCAAATCCAGAAGGTGGTAAAAAGGATGATGAGGATGATGATGATGAAAGAGGTGGACATGGAGGATAAAGAGTCTAATGTGCTTAATAATGATATCAATGTTATATGCAAATTATTAATTATAATGAAATCTAAAACAATAATTTCTCGTAAATTAGACATTAACAATGATTCACCTAAACAATAACAGGTAATTTTAATAAAGTAAAAAAACAGGCACCATTTTTTGATTCATGTCCAAAATTTCATAAAAAATATGATGTTAAATTTGATTTGGATAGAATTGTATCTTATATGTATTTAAGAGAAAATCATTGAAATATCAAATAATGTAGAGATTTCAGTTAAAAAAGAATATGCAAATTTGATTCAACATAAATTAAAGATGGTCTCCCTTCTGCTAAATTAATCTAAATATCACCTAATGATTCAATAATTGTGAATGATTGGACTAATGTTGGTGGAGAACTAAACCACTAATTTAATAATCGTTGGAAGACAAATATTTAAGATATCTGCATAGATAAAAACTATCAAGATCAATTGGATAATCATTTTAAAGCCAAAGTAACTTCATTAAAACATGATTACAAGGCTAAAATAGAATATATGAATAAATATTTTTAAGAGATTGACCGAATAATTTAAGTGTTTTAAACCCTTAAGGAATTTAGAAGTAAAAATATCTTGATGATTTGTTTAAACACTTAATTAAAAAAATTGATAAGGATCTTAAAACTAAAGAGTAGGATTCTATTGATTAATTGTAATCAAATGAAATCTAAATTGATTATAATGATTCTAGTAGAAATATTAATTAGATTAAAAGAACTTATAGTTAAATGGAAGATATAACTGCTGAGGTTGCTGCTTTTAATTAAAATCATTATCTATTTGAAGTTAAAGCTGTTTATTTATTTGGTTAATAAATAAGAATGAATAAGATGAATAAAATCATTAATGAGATGTTTAAAAGTTAAAAACATTTTTAATAAGATTTATAAAATTATGAATATAAACATTTTAATACAAGTACAAGCTGTCAATATGTGAGAAATCAATCTAAATCTCTAGCAATCAAAACTTTGGCATTTTAAACTACAAAAACATCTAATCATTTTAAATTTTGATAAATAATTTTTTATTTATTAAGATAATTAAGTAAATAATTATTAATATAACTAATAAACAAAAACTAATAAGAATGATAAGTTATATTCATTTTCTTTTTTAATTAGTACCAGATTATCCTCTTAATAACTATTAGATAGTTTCAAATTTAATATGACATTCTATTGAATATTTATTAAAATTTACATTATTCAGTGTCTGTTCTAGGCCTATTTTATGGTGTTTTATTGCTCAAAACTGAATTTCTAGGTTTTAAGGAAATCTAAGATCTATCTGGAGATTTTTCAGGAGATCTGCCTGCTCTTTTAGGTGACTAATTCGAACTTGTATTCATTCTTTCAGTTCTACAATTATCAAAGAAAAATGCTTTCAAAATTCCATTATTATTATTATGATTTGAAGAAGCTTAAGAGTTTTATGTTTGCTTAATAAGATTATTAAAAGTTGTTTTAGCTGATTTATAGGGTTATAATTAAATTGGTAAGGTATCTTATGCTTTTAATAATTTTTCATTGATTCTTTCACAACTATTATTTGATGGTCCATTAAAAAATTATATCTTTTATTTAGGTGACATATCTGATGGCATTTATTATCTTTTTTTATTAATTATCATCTATTCCATTAAATTTGTCTATGGTTTAACATTATCACTAATATTTCTATTAGTTTTTAAAGGAGATTATTGATTTAAAAAAGAACTAACTAATTTTCCAGAAGGTGATGAGTCATTTAATTTTAATTCTGCTAAATTTTTGAGTATAGATTTATTCTCTCTTTAGGTTTAAATTTACATCTATTTAAATTTTTACAATTTTTATTCTTTATAATTGACTTCTGATACCATAGACATCATAGATTCTTCTTGTATAGTATCTAAATTAGAATTATAATGTTTATGATAACTAGTAATTAAATGATTAATATAAGGAGATGAACAAGTAATATTTTTACAAGCAATTTCTACTGCTTTAAGATGATATAACTCACTTAATTTAAACTCATCAGTATTAATATCTTTGATTCCTTATTATTTAGCTTTGTCTAATTCAATAAATCTTAATTCAGTTGCAATAGTGAAATAAGATATAGATAGATATATAATTTTCTCTAACAACAATCTTTTAGATATTTCATAAAGCATTTCACCTTGAGATGAGAAATCTTCATATATTTATGGAGTCATATGCATAATGAAACCTATATTGAATGTTTAAATCCATTCTTATACATTCTGAACTCCTAGAATAGAACGATAATCATCTTCCTTTTGATCTAATCTCAATTCTTTACGAATATGTTTTTCATTATTTTCTGGATTATTTCTCCAAAAATATAACTATTTCTTAGCTTCTCTTAATATTAGTTATTCATTATTTGATATACTATCTAAATCTTATTATTTAGATAAATCTTATAGAATATCTTTGCTAGCATCAATAACTAATCTACTAAATTCTACTTCATCTTTCATTTGAAATTTATTATTTTTTTATTTTGACTTCATTGTTAGACTAGAATTGGCAGTTGTTGCAGATCCTAAAGATCCATTTTTGTTTAACCAATCCTTACAAAATTATGAAGCTATCTTAAATACTTCTCTCATTGTACTAGCTGCTTTTCTAGCAGATTGTAATGCTAATTTATGTCTAAAATTAATATTAATTTGTACTTTCCTAATTGACTCAAAATGGCTGTATGTTATAATAGTGTTCTTGATAGAAAGGCTTTCTTTTTGACTAAAGATGCATCAGATTCTTATGTGCTTGTAAGATTATTAGTATCTTATTCATCTTCTTTCATACTTTCTTCCATATTATAAATAACTCCAGATAAATATTTGGAACATTTATCTAAAACCCATTAACTAATTATAGTTTATTTAATACCATTAATATCCACAAGCTTGATTGTAAAGAACAACAATAATTAAGTTTTTATCTATGTTTTTGCCACAACTTGCAGCATACTATTGATAATAATTATTAAGAAATACTTCCAGCATTTATTCTGATTATTAGAGTAATTTCATTGCTTCTTTAAACTTTTAAAGTTTAATTTTAATGACTGCTTGTTCATTAAGATAATTGATTTATTACATGAATTATTCTAATTTTAAGTTAATTAAACATAATATACCTTGATTTTTGTATAACTATTTTAAACCATTTTCCTGAACAGTTTCAATTTCTTCATCTTCTTATTCTTCATCATATGATTCATCTTATTAATTACTATTAGACATTTTTTCAAATATATCAATAACTTAATTTAATAAATTCAATATCAAAATAACTGAATTATATATTTTAATATATATATATATATCATCATTATTTGTAGTTTTTTAATGTCAAATAAAATTCTGATAGTTCAGTATGAAAATTAGTTTAGATATCTTTCAAATAAAATTATTACTAATATTTGAATATTGGAAGATCATCTAAAAAATTAGTGTACAATTATTCAAATTTTTATTTATTATTATTTATAGCATATTTAAGTTCCTCTAATTTTGATTTACCAATATTAATATTATTAATTTATTAAGAATCTTTATTAATTTAATCCTTTAATTCTTTATATTAATTAATTATTTTTATAGCTTAATCGTAATCTCTAATACAAGTTTCAAGTCTATAAATATATCTCTCTTTTAAATTTATTTAAAATGTTTCATATAATTTTGAAATCTATTTTAATTTCATGAATTCATCAGTTTATTAACATTCAGTTACTAAATATATAATTGAATTGTTTTACAGAAAATTTCTTAACTTATAACAAGTGATTTGGATTAAATTAATAATTTTTAGACTACTTTTTACATATCTGAAAATATTATTTCAGTTTATTATTTATTTAATTAGATCTCTTTAGAAACTCAAGATTATATAAAAAATAAAGTACCTTCATCAATTTATGAATCTTATTTATCAGGTATTCTTGGCAAGAATTAAGAAGATCCAAAATTTACACATTTTGAAAATAATGAAACTAAAGAAACTCCAGTATTCATTATTCTATTAATAATAGTATTTGAATCATTAAGTTTATTTATATAATCTTAGAAATCATTAAAGTCCTATATTAATAATTGTATTATTACTTTTAATTCTTTACTAATAAATTTTTATAATACATCTGAATTTTTTAATAGTTTATGATCTAATAACTTTTACATATAATAAATAAATTCATATTTTCTATTATTCCATAATATACATATATACCTTTTATCTTTATCATAATTTTATGTTTTTTAAGGTAAACTGGGTAAAATTCTTCCAATATGTTTATTTTCTAACTCATTTTATAGCCATTCAAAATGTGAATATCTAAATTTTGTATAAGAATTACCTTCTTGTAAATTAATGATTTTCTTCTATTCCATGAATCAAATCTGTTTTAATTATTTCAAATGTATATTTAACTGTTTCCCAGGCTCTAAAACATTCAAAATAAATTATGTAATAATTACAAATGAGGTTCAATATCTGTACTTTTCAATTATATTGTGTAATAAATAGATTTTGTATCCAATATTGGTGCTCGTTTTCTTACATCACTGATGATTTAAGATGTCAAAATTTGATCAAAATATTCTGTCATTAAATAATATAAATTTATCAAGTGAAAAATTTTTTCTTCAAATGAGACTATGTAAATACTTATTTGAAGTTGATCTTTTAATTTTTGCAAGTATTATTGTTGAAAAAATTATTGGCAAATGTGAAATTACACTCATCTTCTTTTATTTGTACAGAATCCTCAATTTTTGGCAATTTAATGCGTTTATTATAATTTTAAGAGATTGACTATTTTGTTTCAATATTCTTTGGTTTCATAGATTCTTGCTAACTTTATGGTTAAACAAGAGATCTAGAGTTCTTTTTTAAGTCACTAAAATCTAATCTTGGTTTAATTTTACGAGTTCGACTTAATGATTCTATAATCTACTATTTTTAGTTTAATGATCGTTTTAAATTCTCGTTTTCCCTCAATATCAATTATATTTAGTCTATAGGAGATCCATTTATTATTTCAGTGGAGATTCTGTAGGATTTAAATGAATAAGGTTGCTAATTTACATAAGGACTTTATTAAATAAGATATTTTACTTAGAATCACCTTCTATTATTGTTGGTGTAGTAAGTGCCTATATCTATAATCTTGGAGTCTCAGTAGATAACTATACTGGATTAATGATCTAATTATTTACCCATCTATTATCTAAATGAAAGTGGTTTGGGTTTAAATAGCTAGCTATTCTATTAACTCAATGCTGCATAAGATTTAGAATGTTGTAAATCCATTCTTTATTTTGATATATTATGATTATATAATTAATTAACTCATATGAATTCCCCCTTTCGTATATCATCAGCTAGAAGATCTTCAGGATGTAAGAGTGAATGCAAATAGCATTTCTTTACAACTAATAAATGTATGTCTTGTTCTATTAATTATAAGTGATTCTTAAATAACCTAAAGATAAAGAAAAACTAGAAGAAACTGTTATTCATCTCAAATTATAAATTAATCTCTTGAATGATAACAATGCTAAACTCAGATTTGAAATTTAACATCTTCAAGTATACATTATATAATATAATTAGAAATAATTGAATAAATAAGAAAAAGCATTATAAATGAATAAGAAACTTCATATTGATTCCAAGATGCAAACTCAATAGAGTGATTACACTAAAGCATTTAATGAGGAAATATTTAATATATCATAATAGACTTGTTAGATTATTGCTTATTCTAAATAAATAAAAGAATTAGAAAATACTATTTAATAAAAGAATCAATAAATTGAAGATTTAAAAAGAGATACTAGAAAAACTAGATATACAGAATTGCAAGTATTTTTATCTATATTATTATAGATTTAATATGAAGTTATTTAAAAAGAATATGAAGAATTACTTAAAAAATATTAAGCCTTAATACATATAAGGTAATATAAATATATTATCTTAATTATAGTTAATTTGCTAGTAATGATGAATTAAACAAAGATAATATTTATCTATCCAAATAACTTTATGATAATTAATAACTTATATAATAATTGAATAATAAAGTTAAGAAACTTGAAACTGAATTACATTAGAGTAATTTTAAACGATAACAAATTGAAAGACTTATTTAAGAAAAAGAAAAAGAATTAAGTTTAACTCATTTTGAATATAGCAATCCTAAGAAAACTATTGCTGATCTTAATAAATAATGGTAATAAAAATTAGATTTACAATTAATGTCATATTAGAGATAGGAATAATTATTAATTTATAAATAAGAGTAAATAGCTGAATTAGAGAAAAAGATAACTGATTTAGAATAATAATTATAATAGAAAGATTTTTATCATAAAAAAGATATTGATAATTTGCATTTGGTTATAGCTACTTTAAAAGATCAAATATTTTAATTAGAAAATGAAGACAAAAGAAAATCATTACCTGTAATTGATTAACCTAATGAATCATCTGAGAGAAATAAAAAACATGCTTCAGTAATTATAAATAAAAAAAGAATTTAAAAAGTTAATTATCATGAAATTTCATTAATGTTATTAGAATTATAAATGAAATTAAAATTGAATGAAATACCTTTTAATAGATTAGATCAATATATCTATTCAAAATCTGTAAAGGGTTGTTTAACATTATCAGATTTAATAGAAACATTTAAATAATATCCATTTGAATTAAATGATGAATAAGCTACTCTAATAGCTAGATTTATTATAGAACCAGAATAAGAAGAGTGGATATATTATGATGTAAATTGTACTAATGATATTGTTATTTCAATTAGTATCTTTAAAAATCTAATCAAACCATATGAATTAATTTCATATGAAGAGAATAAAGTATTATATACTCAATTACGCTAAGTATAATTATTTATATAATTAGATCATGAAATCAAATTAAAATAAAATAGTATCATATTTGCAATTGCAGGGAGATCATTGCAATATATAAGAGTTTAAAAAAGCTCTTGATTATAATGATGTCATTTTATCTCCAAAATTAGATGATCTCTTAATGATAAAGATTTATGAACAATTCAAATAACTAAGTAAATTTAAATACTCTATTATTTTTGATATATTTTAATGAATTTATATATAATATCTTAATAAAGCACTTTACATTATTTTATTTTTTAATTTAATTTCTTCAAATATCTAATTTAAGAATATAATGAAAGATTTTCCATCTAAACTTCACTTTCAATTATTAAATGGTTATTAATTGATTATTTAATATATAATTTCCCATTAAATTTTATAATCTTGAATTTGAAAAATTCAATAGTTATTATAATAATTATTGTTTTAAAGTTTTTATTTTAAAAATCTTGTTTTCAATTAAATTAATCAACAAATCTGGAAGTAAGGTTCAGATTATATATTTCAATTTTCATCTAAGCATCAAATTTGATTAAAAAATTATCTATTTTCTTAAATAATTATAATAGATAATTTATTAAGAATTTTTCAGATATTTGTAAATAAATTGAAAGAATTTTTCATTTTCTATTTTTAGAAATAGATCATCAAATCAATTTGATTTAATCAATTGAAAGAGCAATTATATACATGGAACTTAAATGATTTTCAAAATATTAGAATATGATATGAGAATGGTTTAAAATTGACAGAGCTGAATTATAAAAAGAATAAATAAAGTTAGAGTAATTCATAGAGCTTTTAAGTTTTAGGCTTATTAATGCTTTAAAAGCAATATTGATATTTAAATTATTATAAATTATCTTATGTGATTAATATTAAAGATGATATAGATTTAATTCTAGACTTAGTGAATTAGAATAGTTAAATCAAATTAATAAATTAATACATACACATATAAAAAGTCATTTCTAATAAATTGATTCAATTTTGTATGAAATGTTTCAAAAAAAAGAAGTCTTAAAAGGAATTACTAAAATATAATTGAAATATATATGCAATCTTTTAATAATTTTATTTATTTGATGGTTTGAGAAGTATTAATTTTTCAGATTCATTGAACATAAATATAAATATCTATATATATATAACAAATATATTAAAATGATCATTAATATCTTAATCAATTCTATATACTTACCTGAATATGTATATTAATGAAATTTTAAATAAATAAAAATCCTTTTTAAAAAAAATTATTATGGCTGAATAAGAATCTGTGGCCACAGTCAAATTTGCAAATCAACCTAAATTATTTGGAAAATGGGATTATGATGAAGTACAAGTGACAGATTAATGCTTCAAAGATTATATCGCAGTGCAAACATCAAAATCACGTGTTTTTGTTCCTCATACTGCTGGAAGGTATATAATTGACATAATATTGTTAATAGATATCAAAGAAAGAAGTTTAGAAAGGCTCAATGTCCAATAGTTGAGAGATTAGCTGGAGCACTTATGTTCCATGGCAGAAATACAGGAAAGAAAGTGAAGGCTGTAGCAATAATTAGACATGCCTTTGAAATAGTTCATTTATTGACAGGCAAGAATCCACTTGCAGTATTATCATTAGCTGTGTAAAGAGGAGGAGCCAGAGAAGATTTTACAAAAGTAGGAACAGGTGGTGTTGCCAAATAATAAGCAGTTGATGTTGCTCCAATTAGAAGAGTTAATGAAGTAATGAATTAAAATATATTAAAAAAGGCTGTTCACAATTTAGCCAAGGGAGTTAGAGAATCTGTATTCAAGAAGATGAAAACAATAGCAGAAGCCTTAGCTGATGAATTGATTGCAGCATCCAATGAAGATGGATAAAAGTCTTACACTATTAAAAAGAGAGACGAATTAGAGAAAGTTGCTAAAACAAATCGTTGATTAAGATCATTAATTATATTTTAGTACAATAGAAAATAAACATATTTCAATAATATAAATAATTAATATAAAGCAGAAATATCTAATTTTATTTATATTATGAAATAATTAATAATTATAAATCGATAGATATCTAAGGAATATTATTTAATTATTCTAAAATAGTTATTTAGATAAACTTTCTGAATCTTTATGAATTTCAATTTATATATCTAAAAATGTAAATATTATCAAAAATAATAATTATAAATTTTTTTAATAGCTAAACTAGGAATTATAAAATCAATTGTTTTTTATATGATTTAATGACTATGCTATGAAAATTGATGTTTGACTTCTTTCTCTTTTCCATTCATTCTCTGAAACAAAGGGATCTTAAGACACTTATAACATATCTTAATAGGTATATTAGTGTTTATATATTCTATTCAAAAATGTTTGATATTCTTATTATTATTGTAATTCCTATGGAATAATAATTGATAATAAAGTCTAAAATTCTTGATCTCTTAAACTGGATCCAGTATGTGCAGTAAAAAACATCTTCAACTTTTATTCAAAAGATCCTCTTAATAAAATACTTAAACAAATCAAAAATTCTCTAAAATCTAGTAATTCTGTTTTATTTTCATCAAATAAGTTAAAAACTAATTCATATTTATGTCTATCTAATATTTGATACTTTGTGTAATGCTAATGAAACTATTCCTAATAAAATCTATATAATTAGATTATAATACCATAAGATCAAGAAATGCTTCTTTATTAATACCATACTTTTATAACTTCACCTATTATATTTATAAACTCTATAAATAATCACTATCATCATCTGAAGAATCAGTTAATTAAGCAGATTATTTAATACTTTATCTTTCTTATCTATTTATAGATACACTCCTAGATTCCATACAATACTTTTTAAATTCATTCTAAATTTATAGAATTTCTTCAGTATCAAAATTTGTAATTTTCTTAAGTCTAAAAAGTATTAATTTTTCATTATTAACCCATGATCTACTTGTTTATGAATAATATTATTCTATCTATACTTATCTTTCAAATTATGTAAAATAAGCACTCTCTTTATTGAATAATTAAGATAAATCACTATATTTAATATCTATATATATAATATAAATAATAATAAATACTTTTTCCAATTTCCTCAATAATTCCTTATTTAGTTAGATCAAAAGTTTTAGATGCTTAAACTAAAGTAAGAATAATTGCTTAATCAATTGGAATAAAAGAGTTCTTTTTAAACATCTCTCCCCAAATGATAAATAAGGAACTTGTATTTACTACTTATAACATTAAAGTTAACAACATTTGAGGTCCTGAGACATCTAGAAAATTACTCAGTTGATCAAAATTTTATAAGTTCAAACTTTTTAACAATGTTTTTAAAAAATAAAGTTCTGCTTAATAACCAATCAATGTTGCTCCTTAAGAATTGGAATAAAATCTTGGAGGTATTATAGATTTAAAAATATGATTCATAATATGAAATGCTCCTTCTTCATCTGAAACACATAATAATATTGTAGCAATTTAATTCATTCCTTAACAATATCCAATAATGGGATAATGAGTAACAAATAGTTATAATACTTTAATTATAGATTCTCTTATATATGATTGATCATAACCTTCTTAACATTAAGTAATAAACTCTCTTAAACTATAATTAAATAAAAATGCCTCAGATCTTCCTGTTATAACATCTTTATCAATTATTTCTTTATCGCTTTCGGAAATAGATATTTACATCTTGATTTTCCTTTCTTATTTTCCAATCCATTTTGATTGAAGCAAAGATCTAGTATTCCATTTAAGACCATATTCTTAAATTTATTTTTGATAATATGAATAATCTCTATAACAGTTATCACAAACACGTTATAGTAAATTAAAATCTTTAACAAAATCATTTGGTTTGGCATATAACTAATATTCAAGTTATGTATACTTTAACACGATTCTCACTACAATTTATACAAACATCTTGGTGACACATTTTACATCTATAGCTTTTTCTTAACTTTCTTGATAAATATTATATATAATCTTACAATGCCTATAGATCTTTTCCGCATACACAACATTTTGATCTTTGAAAAAATATCATATTATTATATAATTTATTATTTAATATAAATGAATAATATTAATAAATAAGAAATAGAATATATTATAATTTATCAATTTTATGGAATCATAATATTTCTAATTAATAATAAAAGAATGATTCATTTTTTTAAGATATGTATTATTATTCTTACTATTCAAATATTTTAGATAATATATTATATTACTAATCTTGGTTGATACTATTAATATATAGTATTAATAATATAAGTTTTAATTAAAACTTTATTTAAAATATAAAATTAATATTTATAATAGAATCATTTAAGTGATTCTAACTAGTATTACATAACTTTTTATCAATCTAATAATAATACTTTCTTTTTTATTCATTTTACATCTCAAAAATGTATAATAATTTAATTTTTATTTGATATTTATATACTATTTCTATAACTTATTATTATTTCTAGTTTGAAAACAGAAAGAGATTTTATTAAAAATTTAAAAAAATAATAAATATTAGCACAATATCAATTTTGTCTTTTAATTTAGTCATATTTATATATGTGTTATTTATTTTGATGTAAATTAACGAGTTATTTTGAATTAAGAATAATAATTTAATAATTTGTTATATATTTAGAACATTTCATTCATATATTAAATAAAATAAATTATATAATTTTAATTATCTAAAATTATCGTTGTGAATTAACGTAAGTTAATGTTAAATCCTAAACCCAGATTAAGAAAGATTAAAATTAATAAACAATAAACACAAAATGGCATTAACCAAGGTCGTTCTTCTTTGTATTCAAAATAAGAAATAATTAACAATTACTCATGATTAAATCTATAAACACTTCTCACAATATGGTTAGATTGAAAAAGTAATCACAATTTATATCCTTAGATTTTGATATTCGAAAAAACACAAATTTGGAAAGTCTTCTTGGAAACAAAAAACAAAGAAACTGCCTAAAATTTAATTAAACTATGTAATAACAATATTTTAAACTCTGATAATTCATTAAGAATGTAATTATATCCCAGCAATCTTGAGAATGTCACCTTTTCTGATTCAAATTTAGCTGGAAAAGGTATTTTATTAATATAATAATTCATTAGATTATTCTAAATCCAAAGAAAAAAGGGATTCATATAATTCAACTGATGATGAACAAACTTCTGTAGGCAGCTAAGGTGAATAAATTCCTAATATTAATTCAACCAAAAATTACTAATAAAATATTTAATAATCAATCTATTAATACTAATAACATTTATAACAAAGACTATATGAATAATAAGTACTCTAAATGAGACTTTAAACTTAAAGTTTAGATCTATAAGTCCCTGATTATATAAATACTATAGTCTCAACCTAATGGGTTGAATAATTTGTATAACTTGGAAAACTACTATAAACATAATATCTACTTTAATATTAACTTATTGATAATTATATTAATTATATCAAATAAGAATCAGCTAATGCTTTGTCTGAAATTCAAAACTAATAAAGATAATAATAATAATTGTAATAATAGTTGTAAATAAATAATCTTAATCAAATCTATCATATTGATTAGTAAGAGAAATCAAGAGTAATTGTGGCCAAGTCTTTTGATGATTCTGTTACTTCTATTGATATGCTCTATAACATTTTTAGTATCTATGGAAATATAGATAAAATGGTATATTAGAAAGACAAATCAACATTGTTGGTTGAATACCATCTATAAAAATGTGCTGATCAATGTATAGAGAAATTAAATAATATTGTATTCCAAGGTCAAACACTTTAAGTAATCATTCTATAATATTCTAGATTACCTATTCTATTTTATAAGAAATAACATTCTTAGATGAACTTGAAGAATTAGGATTAGTTGAAAAGACTTTCTATGAAGAAAGATTCATTGGATCTGAAACCACTAATAGATACAAACCAAAAAATTCATTTATTGCTGCTTCACCTAATGATACTATCTTTTTGATGAATTTATCAAATGAATTACTAAACATAAATGCTCTTCAACCACTTTTAGAAACTGAAATTGTTGATTATAAGTAATTTCTTTTTATTATATTTAGATTTTATGAAGATCCAAAATAAAAACATAGTTGTGCCTTAAAATTCAAAACAGTTGAAGATGCTATGTTATTTTTAGCTAAAAATCATGGCAAAGTAATGGCTGATAGAAAAATCTTAATGACTTTTTCAAAAAAGCCTATGTGATTCAATTATTATATATTTTATTAATTTTTAGATAAATTAAATAAAAAAAATTTTATTTATGAAATAACAATAGATTCAAGAAGACTCTGACTCAGAATACATATAAGAAGTTATTATCAAACCTATTAATGAAAGAGAAACCAAAGTCAAAGTCACCTATAAAGAAATTAATGTTAGACCTGGAGTATTAGAAAGATAGAAATGGGATAAATGGGGAGAAGTAGCTTCACTTCCTAGAGGTTAATTTAGAGAAGGAGATATGCTTGTAGAAGCTGAATTAAGAATTTAAGCAGCAAATAATTAGGAAGAATGCAATTTTATAATTCCTGCTCCAAAATAATAGTTTGTGGTCAGTTTTGATAAAGAGTAATCTAAACCCTAAACAAATTAATAAGTTGGTATTCATATTATATATGAAAGGTCCTCGTTAAATTGGTTAAAGTATTTAATTTGAATAAGCTCCTGCATCCTCTTAATGGTTAGTTATTGTTTCTAATCTTGTGTAATTTGAATATGCTGAAACATTTTAGGATATTATAAGTAATTTTCAAATTTAATGTTATTAGGAGCTAAAGATGATTTTAGAGGATGGTTAAGAAAATAATTAGAGTAAGAAGAAGGAAGATTCAGCTATTATATTAATTTCTTATAAAACAGAAGAAAGTAAAAAGTTTATTCTTTGGATGGATAAAATTCTCATTAACCTTTGATTTAAAAAGTAATGTTAAAATTTTAAGATAAAAACAGAGCAGAAATTGCACTTGAGAAACTTAATGGCAAAAGTTATGATGGTTGTATATTGCAGTTAGAATTATAAGAATAAAGACCTCGTTGAAAGTTTTATTGATATCATTTGTGTTAAAAAAACAAACCAAATCATCATTATTTTTTGATACGTCCTTTCCCTTCTTTACGACATTCTGAAGAACAAAACCAAGGCTCGTTTTCAGGAGGAAAATCTTTTAGTTTAACACATTCTAAATGAAACCATTCTTTTGAACATAATTAATTATCACACATAACCATTTATCCAAATGAAGGTTTTTAACATATACAATACAATGGTTCACTTTAACTTGCATTCTAAAATATTTCTTTGCTTTATTCAATTTCTTAATTAATTTTCTTTCTCTTCTCTTTTTAATATTTACTTAATATTAAAAATCTTCTTTTATGATCAGGTGCCATACTTGATTTTAAGTTCTCCTCAAATTTCTTTAAATCATTATCTAATTACTCAATATATAGATTTATTATTTACTTAAACAGCATTATCAACTACTTCATAAACTTTATCAGTGATATTAATTTTTTCTTAAGATAAATTTACACTTTCCTCATATAATTAATCAATTTCTTATTTAGTTTTTTCAGATTAATGTTATTTATGTTGCTTTCTTAATTATGTTAATTTTAATTGAATTTTTGTAACTTTCTCATCTAATTCTTTAATTAATCTTAAAGATCGAGTAACTTCTTATGGTACATGACTTTGTCTATCAAAATAATCTTCCAATTATGCCATTAAATAAGTATATATATATATATATATAAATTAATTAATTGCATAATCAAAATAGCTTTTCAATAGCTAGTTTTGGTTCATTATATTTTAAGAATTCTCTTAATCTAAATGTTGATTATAAGACTAATCTACAATCAGGTGCTGGCAATACTTATTCTACTAAAAAGTCATATAAAGTTTTTAATTCTTTATCATCTTTATTATCATAATATGGAATAATTGGTATTCCATTTTCTAAATGAACTCCAAATGAATATGCAGCATTATCAACTAATACTATATCTTTAAGATCTCTATTAAAAATTCTTAAATCTTTTATATGCACTCCATCTGGTGATAATACACATTTGTCTCTAAATAATTATGCTGAAAGTAATTAATTTTTAGGATCTAAATATTAAATCACTTAACTAGCATAACATTAATGAGATGCAGTGAATACAATTACTTCACATATTTAACTTAATTCTTAAAGAATCCATTTAGCATAAGGTCTTATATTAATACCTGCTTAAACTGTATCACCTGAAGGGAATGTTATAGGTAAATATACATCAGCCTTTAATGATTAATTTTCATTGCAATGAATCAATGTTTCATCAAGATCAAAAACTACTGTTTTTTAATCTAATATTATCTGTGTAGTATAATACATTTGCAATTCAATTTTGGTGGTAAATTTAATAATTTAGATTAAATAATCTATTAATCTGATTCTTTAAGATTTGTACAGAAACCAACACAATTGAATGTCTAAACTGCATGATCTTTAAATAATTATTATTCAGATGTTTGAGGAAATGAATGTTTAAATGCTTCAACTAATGAAGTAACATAATATATTTATTCTATATAAATTTAAAGTTTTATTACTTTTAGGTTTTGCTGATTATACTCTTGTTGATGGAGACAAAGATTTAGTTTATTTGAAAGGTGAAATTAATGTTTTAGTTGGTCTACTCACTTAAGTAATGAAATCATCCAAACTCACTTTTAAATTTTCTTTTTTATTAGTATCATTCTTCTTTTTTAATTATTATGCAATTTATTATGCAAATTAATTTGATGGAAATCTTTAATCTATTGACATTAGATTATATTTTTTCTATTTTGATTACGGAGTTGTTGTTGTTTAAATTAATGGTGTAAGTAAAGCACTTGCTGACTTTTCCAATTAAGAAAAGTTACGATGTAAACTATTTTTCGTTTTAGGCAATACCTATGAATTATTTTATATCTTTCCTTGTTCTTTCAGATTACTTTTTTAATACAAAAAATATTTCATCTTTTTTTGTTTACTATAAATGAATACTTCTTATGCAGTTCTACATGATTATGGTGTATTATTTCTAGGTGTAATTGTTTATTATTATTATTATTATTGTGTAGATATTTATTGCTATTATTAATTACGATCACGTTCAACATTATTATTTTGTTATCTACCTAAATTATATAACTTAGTTAGAGTTTGAAATTATTCTCTAAATTAAAAAATTTATAGAAATACCTTGTTATATTAGCTTTAATAGGTTTTACTTCCTATCTCGATGTAACAGATTTAATATTTTAGTTTTACATTATATTAATAAATAATCTATAAAAAACAATAATAATATAATTAAAATGATTCTTGTTTATATTCATATTAAATAAAATCAAATACATCCCATATTAGTTAATAATATAAATAAAATTACTAATTGTAACTCATTCAAAATTATATTATCAATATTAGATAAGAATAATATATTCAAACTTTAATAACTATAATTTTAACTTAAAATCATTATCCAAAAATCCATGATATTCCTTTCTTTACTTTAATTGATGCTATCCATTTTTTTATTTCCTCAGATATAGGATCTTTAAATTCAATTGCCATTTAATAACATATTATTGCTTCTTCATACTTCTTAATATTTTCTAGTACAATACCTAAATTTTAATTAGAACTACATACCCTTATTTCTATAAGCATAAGAACATTTAGGATCTAATTTTATTGCTAAATCATATTATTCGATTGCCTCTTTATTTTTTTTTAACTCTTTTAATAAGATACCTTTATTTAAATATGCTTCTATGCATTATTTATCTAATTATAAGGCTTTATCATAATATTATAAAGCTTTCCCATATTATTTCAATTAACATAAACAATTTCCTTAAAATAAAATAAATAATTACCTTTTAAAGTATATGCATTTACAAATTTATTATCTAAAGCTATGGCTTAATCTATATACAAAATTGCTTCCTAATATTTTTTTTATTATTTTAGACAATTTCCTAATATAATAATTGATTAAACCTTTTAAATGAAAAGCTTTTTCATAATTTGGATTTATTTTTAATGCTTCATCTAAACAATCTAATGCCTAATCATACTTTTTCATATCACATAAAACTAAGCCTAAATTTTATAAGATTATTAATAACTTTTGCTAGTATACGCCTTGAGAAGATTTGGATCATTTTTTATTGCCAAATCCAAATAACTAAGTGCTTCTTAAAGTTTTTGTTAAGACCTTAATATATTACCTAAATTAAGATTAAATATTTTGTACCAATATTCAAATTATTCAAACCAAAATTAGGATCAAATTATGCAGCTATCTTAAAAGAATTTAATGCTTAATCTTACAATTGATTCTCCAATAATGTAATTCCTATTGATGTATATGTTAATATACCATAACAATAATGAATAAAAGCTTTATTATATGTAATGTTTAAACCCTCTTTGAAAGCTTCTAGAGCTGCATCATTAATTTTGAATTTTATTAAAAGACATCCTAAAATAATATCTATTTTTAACCTTTTCTTGCTAATGCAAAAGTTTGTCTTTTATCATAATTTATTGCTTAATCATAGAATTGAATAGCCTTCTCTTAATTATCATTCAATTCTAAGGCATAAGCTTAAGCAATAGTTAAAACTGAATTATAAGATGTTTTTCTATCCCAACTACACCAATTAATTAAATCATTTGATAGATTTTTATTCAAAGTTTAAGATTACTCTAATAATTATTAACCTTCTTAACATTAATTCAATTCAATTAAAACCCAACCTAAAATTATTATTATGAAATAAACTTTAAAAGAAAAGAGTCTTATAATCATCCTTATTTTTCTCAATACATTTCTAATATATAACATTTGCTTTCTCCCATTCATGTTCTTACATATACTATATACCTATTTTTAAATATAATTGTTTATATATACCTATTTCAAATAATTATTAAGATTCATTTAATTATGATATTTAAAGATCAGTACTTAATTATTAGGAATTTATTAGGGAATTGTTTATATGTACAGAAAATTACTTTTTAAGTTATTCGAATGAAGATAATAATAGTTTTAGGTTCTTAAATCTTGGATCTTATATTAATAATTCATTTTCTATTTATAATTAAAATATAATACTATAAGAATTGTTTAATCCAATTTTACTATTCCAAGTCAATGAATATAAAATTCTTAATAATTATAAATTACAATTTTCTCTTAGGTCTTGATAATTTTATTCTTCAAGCATTTATTAGAGATTAGATAATTTACATTTAGTAGCATCTAATTCCTTTAATTATTAATCATAAATAGTTCTAACTTCTTAAAATAAACTCTCTAATTCTTTTTATAAATTAGAGAATATTGCTATATTTTTTGTAATTAAATTGAGAATTTCATTGAATCCTTTGCAATCTTCTTTATGTTTAAAATGTTTATCTTCTTCTTGAATACACTTTAAACAGAATTACTTTTGAGAACAATTACATTCTTGATTTAAGCAAAAGCCTTAAATAGGATCATTAAGATGATCAATAAATGTACAAGAATAAACATTATTAAACATTTTATAAACTAAATATTATTATTAATTAGTAGATTTTAATAGAAATGCTATTATTAATAATATTTATTGTAATTCACTAAATTTACATTATTTTGGAATCTTTTAAATTTATCTATAATAAAATAATGATTTTAAAAGATGTATAAATGATATAGTAGTAGAATTTAATCTAATCTAAATATTATTAATTAAAAGTATATAATCAATTTATATAAATAATATAATTAATATAAATTTAATTTTTTTAAAATACATCTTTATAATGTGCATCCATCAATTCAACTAAATTAAGTTTATAAGATAAAAATAAAATCTATAATTTATCAATATTTCAAAATGTATAGAGAAATAAAGAAAAATTTTTATTTTTTTTCATTTTACAATTGAATTTACAATTTTTAATACATATATATATATTTAGAATTATTAATATTAAATTAAGTCGTTTTTATTAAAATCATCACAAAATGATAGCAATATTGTGAACTATTAGAAATATGTTTCAATGAAAGAAATAGAGATTTGAAGATTAAAAAATATATTAAGTGAAAATTGAGTATTTTTAAATTATCTTAAAGACATAGATTAATAATTTAAAGGTTTAAGTTAATGTTTGTAAATTATCAATAGAATGACGCTTTATTATGCACAATTGGAGAAATGACGCATCAATTAGAAATATTAAAAATCATAAAGAATAAGAATATTTAACTTGAATAAAAGTAAAGTGAAGAGAAGAGAAATTTATGATTTTATACATATCTATTGATTAAGCATTAAATAATTAATATATCTTTAATAATGAAACCACAATAAATACCACAGTAAGCTGCTTAAAGTGATCATGAGTTTGATAAAAATCATCATCATCATCATGAAAGTTAAGCAGATGATCATGGTGATGAAAATCACTTAAGAGAGTACACAGCAAAGGAATTAAGGAGTATTAAAATTTAAGGTGTTATATGTTTAATTGGAGGAATTGCTCTACACTTTGTATTAGGAACATTTTATCTATGGGGTGGAATTAGTATACATTATTTATTAACAATAGGTCCATATGTTGGTGCTTATATGAAAGACAGAGATGAAAGTGTCACATAATCTACACTCTAGATTATATTTCCAATATTAGGAATTGGATTATTTTCTGTCCTTTCGTTTGGAGTTAAATTGGCTCAACGAATTGGATACAAAACAATGATTGCATTAGGTGGAAGCATAATATCACTGGCTTTTTTAATATTGTCATTTATAAACAATATTTATGCATTCATTTTGATATATTGTTTTATGGTTGGTATTCCATCTGGATTAGTATATATGTTACCTATAAGTATGATATTATTAAATAAGTAGTATGTGGATGGAAATTCTTTCCTTTTAATAGAGGAATGGTATCTGGTTTAATTATTGCTGGATATGGATTTGGAGCATTTATTTTTAATTTTGTGTGTAAGGCAATTTGTAATCCAAATAATGTGGAACCAAGTGTTTCTTTTGAAGAAGATGGAAAAATTAAAAAATACTTTCCCAGGGATGTATTTAAGAATGTACCCTTTATGTTTTAAATGATGGCATTGTAATTTAATTTTTATATCTAATTTTAGATCCTATTTTATATTAACAATAATAGCCACATTATTAATAAAATATCCAAGAGATCTTCATCTAGAATATTAATCTGTTTTAGGAGATGGAGTTAAGAAACCTAGTGGAATAAATCATGAAAAATCAATAGATTATCATCCAACAGTATTACATGCAGAATGTGAATCTTTAAGTTAAGGAATTAAATCAAGACCATTTTGGTTTTTAATTGTTATGGTTTTATGTTCAGTGATATTTGGATTATTGATGGCAAATTGTTATAAAGTGTTTGGTTAAACTGTAAATCTAAATGATTAATAATTATTTAGCTAGGGATTGATGACTCAAGTCTAACAGTACTTGGTTCAGTATAATCAGTATGTAATGGAGGATCAAGATTTATATGGGCTGTGTTATTTGATAAATATGGATTTAAAAAACTTTATTTAGTTATTTCAGTAATTAATTTGATATGCAGTGCTTCAATTGGATATATTAACAATAGTTATGCTGGATATTTTATAATTTTATGTTTGACAATGTTTTGTGAAGGTGGACTATTATCATGTTATCCTGCTGTTAGTGCTAAAGTTTTTGGACATAAAGTAAATATAAAATTAATATATAGGTTGGACCTATTATTTATGGAGGTTTATTTTTTGTGATAGGATTATCAAACATGTTGGGATATTTGTTGTACAAATTTGGAGAACCAGAAATAGGATATAATGGAGTATTTTGGATAATATTTGGATTTTGTAGTGTAGCATTTATCTTGGGAGTATTCTTTAAAGAGGAGCATGAATGGAAAAAGGAAAAAAGATGATATACAAATTTGTATATATGTGATAAATTAGAAATTTAAATAATATAAAGAGATGGCTGACACAAAAGGCTCTATGGTAGCACCTTTATCTAAATATAAATTGGTTTTCTTGGGTGATTAATCCGTTGGAAAGACATCCATTATAAATCGGTTTATGTTTGATACATTTGATGGGAAAGATCATGTAAGAGAAATTGTAAAATTTAATTAAAGCCAACAGTTGGAATAGATTTTATTTCAAAGACTCTATATTATGAAGATAGAACTATACGTTTATAATTATGGGATACAGCAGGATAAGAGAGATTTAGATCATTAATTCCAAGTTACATAAGGGATAGTGCAGTTGCAGTAGTTTGTTACGATGTGGAAGGTAGATGTCTATAAATTTATTTAGTAAAATCATCATTTACAAGTTTAATCAAATGGATATAGGATGTTCGTTAAGAGAGAGGAAATGATGTGATTATATTTATAGTGGCAAACAAAATAGATGTAGATAATAGGTAAAAAATTGTTATAAAATTGAAAGAGTTATAAGTACTGAAGAAGGAACAAATCTAGCAAAAGAATATGATGCTCATTTTATTGAAGTAAGTGCAAAGACAGGAAACAATGTTGAATTATTATTTAAATAAATTGCAGCAACATTACCAGGAACAGAGACTTCATAAATGGTAAATTCTGTAATGAATAATCCAAATTAATGTATTAAATTTAAAAAAAATTTAAGCAAATACTATAAAATTAGAAAACCAAACAAACTAAGAATAAGATAAAGCTAATTCTAAGTTCTGTTGTTGAATCTAATAAATTTATGCTCATTAAATATTGAAATTGTTTTTTAAAGCATTTATTTCATTTTATAATTGTAGAATTTATTTATCTTTCTTAGCCAAAGATAATTATAATTCTGCAATTTTCTTTTCATAAAATAAATAATTTCTATTTTCCTATTATTATGATTACAAATCTCTATGTCCACTAAGGAGTAATGTTTCATTCACAATAGAATCAAATGAATTTTATTACAAAACAAATAGAGAATGTTATTCTCCTGTATGAATTGATTTTATTATTTATTTGGTTATTATTGTACCATCTAATAATTCTACAGATCCATCTTTCTTTAATAAATAACAACGAGAACCAAACATACTCAATTAATCTATATTACTAAAATGATATTTAATTGTATTTGATTTATCCCAAAAAATAGCTATACCATCAATTGTTACAATTGCAGAATAATCATTATTACATGCTAATTGTTTTATTATACCATTATAATGAAGTACCTTACCATTCAAATTTAATTAATTTGAATAAATAAATGTCTAAAAATCTCCTGCTGCTATGAATTTTATATTTTAATATTCAATCTTTATTGGAACACAACTTTTATCTTTATTTATTAATAATTATCCTTTATTACCTCTACCAAAAGTATAAAGGAAATCAGATTAATAAATTAATGTATGATAAGATCCACAAACTATATTACCAAATTGAATATCAAGTAATTCTGGTTCATTTCTTGGCTCATAATCTCCTAAACCTAATTGACCATCATCATTATTCCCCCATACATATATTCCATTATTTGTTCTTATTATCATATGCCATTAACCACATGCTATATACTCTACCTTTGGTATATCTATCATTTTTGTGATGTTAAAACCTAATTAACATTTATCATTAACCCAAAAGACAACACTGCTATGTTTCCAAAAGCATAAGTGTAAAATATCCACCACATGCAATATTTAATATTTTAACACCATAATTATGTTCTTTTAATTCTGTTTGTTATTATGTTATGCCCAATTATCCCTATTTATTTGAACCTTCAATCAAAAGAGTTGTTATTTGCTATTCTGATTATCTCATTTTTAAATTCTTATTAAATTAAATTAAATATTAATCATGAAAAGACATACTGTAGGCAAACGATTTCGTAAAATTAAAGGATTACGTAAATCTGATCCTAATGCAATTATTCCTGAACCTCCAAAACAATTATAAGATTATATTGAAATCTTAACTTCTAAAGGTGTATACATTAACAAAGTTAAGTATGCAATCTTTTAAACTAAAAATGGTTTAAAATATCCAGGTCTTATAGGTATTTAAATTATATTATAATATAGCATCTGAGAAGATCTTATCAAATGAAACATTAGTCTAAGTACCTAGAGATTTATTATTAACAACAAGACATGCATTTGAATCACCTTTGAAATAAATGTTTTTAGATCATCCACAATTCTTTAGCAATTAATTTTAATCTTCATGGGAAGATCATTAATTAATGGCATTTATATTATATGAATATTAAAGAGGACCTGAATCAGAATGGCATCTATTAATCTCTAATTTACCTAGAGATATTGATTATCTTGTTTTTTGGAGTTAAGAAGAATAAGATTTATTAGATGATGAATAATTAATAAAATTGGCTAGAAAATAATATTAAGAATTTTTACTTGAATATGAAACTCTCAAATTTATTACAGATAAATATCCATAACTCTTTAAACCAGATATTGTTACCTTAGAAAATGCCAAATGGGTTTATACACATTTAGTTACAAGATGTTTTGGTAAATATTTAGCTTATGTAACAATGGTACCATTTTGTGAATTATTTAATCATGAATGTACAGATGTATTCTATGATTTTGAATACAATGCTGATAATCCTCATAAAAGTGAAGAGAGTGAATAAACTTAAGTTAAAGAATTAAAAGAAGATGAAGAATTATCAGTTACATCTTCTGAAGGTTCATATAATTCTGAAGATGAAATTAGTGATTCAGAATATATAACAGATACATATGAATAATTTAAAGAATTTAGTTTTGATGATTTTAGTGAATAATCTACTTAAAAGTTTTATGAAGAATTTAGCAAGACATTTGATATTAAACAATAAGAAAATGAAGAAGAAGAAGAATTTAATAAAAGAATTAAAGAATTATAAGATCAATAAATTAAAATGAGAAAAGATTTTAATATTAAATTAAATCTTTAGAGAGAAGTATTTCTATTATCTAGAGATTGTAAGACATATATATTTTAAAATATTGATTATGGAGATAATTATTCTATATTTTTTATTGGATAGATGTTTGCTAAATTAGATAAATCAATCTAAGAATATATTAATGGAGGAAAGGCTTATTTTATGGCTAGAGAAGATGTTAAAAGAATCTAATTAACTTGTAATACATATAGAAATAATTTATATGCTTTTTAAAAAGATATTATGAAAAAACCAATTTATTAAACAAGTTATTTCTAACAAAAAAGATCTAAAAATCAAAATTAACCATAAGAAACTGTTGATTCTATTTTATCTTAACCTTTAGATCCAGAATGTGAATATTATAAATAAGTTTGGGAGAAAGATAAATTTGATAAATTTGTGATGAAAGCATCTAGTAAAGATCAATTTGAATAAGGAGCTTAAGTTTATTTTTGTTATGGTAGATTATCTAATAGAATGATGCTTATGAGATATGGAATGTCATTAGAATATAATAAATATGATCATGTACATTTAAGAATAGAATATTTGAAATATTTATAAAGTAATGAAGCTATATGGTTAGTTCATAAATATCAATTAAGTAAATACAAAAGATTCAAATTAAAACATACTACTTTTCCTTTAGATTTTATAGTATTTTGTAAATCAATATATTGGTAATGATATTTATAAATACTTAGGACATTTAATGTACATTCTTTGGATTCATTTTTTAAGATTTAAGATCTAAAATTAGAAAGAAAAGCATTATAATTAGCATTAGAGATTTTAATTGAAGAAATTTCAAAATTTTCAGATAAATTAGAAGAAAATGAAAAATTATTGTATGATAAAACATTAGGATATCATGAATATTTTGCAGTAATTTATAGATTAGAAAGATAAAGAATTTATCATCATAATATTAAGTAATTTTATTATATTAAACATAGTTTAATAAAAATTTGTATTGTTGTTATTGATAGAATGCTAGATGGAATACCATTTGATTAAGCCACTGAAAAAACATAATTTGATTTCGATTATTGTGAAACTAATCGTATAATCTTAAAGAAATATTTTGAACAGATGAGATATGCTCTTTATTTACCTAAATGAGATGTTTATTTTAGTGTTAATATAAATTTAACTTATGAATTATCCAAAAAGGTTTTCGATTGGCAAAATGTATTAAAGAGTATTACTTAATAATATAATTCAAAAGGAAAAAGGCATTTATTAAAAAGATGATAATTGCATTTCTAAACCTTAAAGTCGAAAAACACAATATCAAATAGATTATATTAATTAAGGAGTGAAATTATAGAATGTGTAATTAGCAACATTCTATCTCAAAAACGGATTGCCCTATCGAGGTTTGATAGGTAATCTTAAATTGTTTTAAATAGAAAACAGCTACAGATAATATTCCAGCCAATTATATTTTAGTCCAAGTTCCCCGCCAATTAATAATAAGTAGTTAAACTGCATTTGAATCAAGTCAAAAAGCCTTTTATTTTAAACATAGAGAGTTTTTTTTAGATCATGAAGACGGAGAAGAACATGCAATAATAGCATTTCTTATTATGAATAAAAGAGAAGGAATAAGATCTAAATATTATAGATTTATTGATTAATTACCATAAGATGTTAATATGTTGATATTTTGGTCAGAGGAGAAATTGAAATTATTGTAAGATGAAAATTTAATCCATAAAGTATATAAAAAGAGGGAAGATTATAAGTAGACCTTATTGATATTCAAAAAGATAATGAATACAACAGAGGAAGAATTTTAATGGGCTTATACCAATTTATATACCAGAGATTTTGGACATAATTTGAAATACAAAAGTATGGTACCATTTTGTGAATTCTTCAATCATGAATGTGTTGATGTACATATTACACTTTTGTCTAAAGATGATTATGAAAAAAAGAATGAAATCAATAATATAAATGCAGAGTATAAGAAGAATGGAAAAAAAGGTAAAAAGTAGATTGAAGGTTTTTATGCTGATGAAGAACTTTAGAGTGTTTAATCTTCATCAGATTCAGATAATTCTTTAGATCTAGATCAAAATGAATCAGATCTTGATTATTTTATAGCAGATTAAATTATAGAATGGACAACCAAAAAGGAATTATAAGAATAAACATATGATATAATTAGAGATTATATTTTACATAATGTAATTAGATACTAAGATAAATCAAGTAGATATATTAACAATGTGAAAAAGAAAATAATTAATTGGAAAGAAGATGAAGATTTTGATTATTTCTGTATTAGCTCATAAAGAACTGAAAATTTTAAGAAAGGATCTCAAGTCTATTTTAATTATGGAAGACTTTCTAATAGAGAATTATTATTAAGATATGGTATTGCCTTAGAGAAAAACAAATATGATCATGTCTATTTAAGAATTAATACTGCAGAATTATTAAAAAAGAGAGTGAGCAGAATATTTTAGAAATAATATTTATCAATTAAACTAAAATATACTGAGTTCCCTTTTGCTTTGCTTAAGTTTTCTAAGGCTATTAAAGAGTAATATTTAAAATAGGTTGTAGAAGTGAAAACCAAGATTACTATGATCCTTAGACCGTGTTGAATATCATTAATATTTAGACTGAATTAAAAGGTAAAGTATTCTTATATCATTAGGTTTGACAAAATCTATAGAATTATTACAATAATTTAAATCTGAGTTTAAAGAAGATCTTGTTAGAAGTGATCATTTGTTAAAGAATAACAAATTAGATTATGATGAATATTTTGCATTGGTTTATAGATTGGAAAAGTAAAGAATTCTCCAACATAATATTATATTATTATAATTGGCAAGAGAAATTTTATTGGATCCAGAAAGATTGGAATATACATGTAGTTCTTATGAATCATCATAATATGAGTATACATATAGGATAATACTAAAAAAATACTTAGATTAAATCTTAAAACAATGAAAACATTACTTTATATATATATTTATATATAATATTATTATTTTAATTATTTATGATAATATAATAATTGAATAAATATTATCGATAGAATAATTAAGGTTGATTTAGAGTACCTGCAAACTTTACATGATAACATATTGCACATGAAAGGTATACGGTACTCATACTATTTAAAGTAATCAGTTTTATAATAAATTAATAATAATGTATTTCTAAATTTTTATGGGATGTTATTAATTAATTAAATTGATGAATAGAATTTAGATTTACTTACAAAAATTGAATACATTCTTAGACTTGTTAAAGTGATTAATATTTAAGTTATAGTCTTGTTAATTTTGAAAATTATTATTATGTTAAACATTCAATAACTAAAAGTAATATATGAAGTCAATTATTCAAGAATATTTTTAAAATTAATATAGAATGCTTAAATTATATAGATATAATTTGAAAATAAATTATAATAAGAAAATGATTCACAAGAATCTAAATATTTTAAAGAGATTAAATATCATTACATATTATTACATAATTGTTAATATAATGCAAAATTCATAATGTTTAATCAATTACATGAAACATATATATGGAAATTAGTTAAGTGGATTCTTAAAAGAAGTATATTTATTTAATATATATATATATTTATTGTAATCTCATTCATCATAATTTTGGGTTATGTATTTATATGAATTGAATTATTAATAAATATTTTAATTAGTATTTACGTGTATTGGATGGAATAACAAATACTTCTTTAAGCAAAGATAGCTTACTTTTTAGGAAATTTTAATAAAGTATTAGAAATATGGTAATAAAATGACTATGATGATGATTACTATTACTTTCTTGTTTCAAGAGCTTTAATTGCAGCAAGAGAATTGAAACCAAAAACTATAAGATTAACAAAGAAACCATCTTCTAAACTTTTAGAGATTACAGATATAGTCAGCAGATTTATGGGTCCACTTATAGAATAATAGAAATCAGATACTACTGTTGATGAGGATAGAAAGTAAATAGAAGAAGTATTAAAAAAACTTAAAGACATCATTCCTCAATAAAATTAGAAAATCATATAAATTATATGTGCATATATGTCTGTGAATTCTTGTGAAGCATAATATGCATTATAATTAGATATGCCAAAGGATGCATTTTAATAAGAATTATTATACCTTTAATTTATGATATATTTAAGAGGAAGAAGATTTGATTTAGCCGAATCCACATTATTAGATTTAAGGAGATATGATGATGAAGATATTCTAACATATCTTGCTTAAATATATTTAAATGTACATATTATTATATATATATATATAGTTATATAATGGATAACCAGAATAAGCATATAAATCAATTTAAGAAACAAAAGATAGATTTGGAGATTCCTCAAAATTAATGAATTTAATGATCACTTGTCTAATTCAGTATGATATTTACATATAAATATTTTAGTTAAAATAAATTTGAAGAAGGTTTTGAATTAGGATAAAAAGTGAAAACTATTATAATAGACAATGAATAATTTTCAGATCGTCAAGAAATGGAAGTTTGTTTATCTAATTTAATAATTTTATGTGAATTATTGAATAAATAATAATAAAAAGAAGAATATATTTAAGTTTTGGAATAAATTAATAAATCATGTCATTTTTTAAAGAGATATTAAGAGAAAGTAAAGAAAATTGAACAATTATTATGATATTTTATTTTTAGGTGTTAAAAATAATAATAATATATTTATATGTGTAATTAATTTCAATATTCCCCAACTAAATCTCTATAATTTAATTTTTAATTTATTCTTCTTCTCAAACTTCTACTACCTTATGTAGATTATTCTTAAATCTTTATATTAAAATTATATAATTTACTTCTTATTGTTGTTATTATTATTGAGAAGATATTATAGTCTATTGAAATATTTAAGGTGGAGATGACAATTATAATTTTTTAACTTTTTTAATCGAATTTCGAAGGAGATCCAAATCTACTTTGATTTCTTCTTCTAACAAGTTTAAACGATAAGCTATAATTTAATTTGTATTAAATTACTATATTATATTTTATTGTCCTTTGTAGCTACAAAATTTATATTCTTTTCTCTATTTCTAACATCATCTTGTTCAAGAATAGGACGTTACTTTTAAGGAGGAAGTTCTTCAGGTTTTTTAATTGGTTTAGTTTTTTTAATGTTTTTGGAACAATTTAAACAATGATATGGAGTAGTTTCTGGTTCATTTTCAATATTTTAATTTCTATATTTTTATTCACAAACAATGTGATTCTATTTTTATTATAAATATGTAGCATACCCATTTTTAGCATTGATCACATTAAACCCAACCTGCTTCATCATCATAAGAGCCATAAACCTTTAATAAATGGATATTGATACTTGTTCACAAAAATCACAATAATTTCCTTTATTATATAATTTAGAACATTTGTCACAAAAGAATAATATATCATGCCTTTTGGATTTGATTTTCTTGTCTCCAACATTCTTACATTAAGTATTATAACATTTCTTAGTAGGTTATTCTGGTTCATCATCATCTACTGTTATAGGGTGATCTGCATTGTTTTTAATCTTTTGAGCTGAATTCCCCTATGATTAATTGTTTAACAAGTTTAGCTATGACTATGATTATACAGAATTTGGTAGATATTATAGTAATTCAATCCCATTCATCAAAGCTGGAAAATCTAAGAAATAAGTCTAACAAACATAAATATAAGTGATATAATATGAGTATTAAGAGTATGGTTAACTTTACTTAGTAAATTTGAAGCTTGAAAGTAATCTTTTGATTATGAGTTTTAATTAATGCACTAGATTAAGTTTGGGTTTAGTAGCTATCTCAAAATGTATTGCTGTATCTCAGGTGCTAATCGCTGTGGAAAATGTTGATTGCTAATATAATCATCGTATATCAAAATATAATATATGGATATCAGTAAATAGAATGATATGTTTAGATGTAAAGTCGTACCTTTAAAACAGAAATGATTGATCAAATTCAGAGGCATTGCTTCCGAATAAAAATGGCTAATTATTATTCTTTCCTTGACTCATTTTTTATATTGTTTAAATTAAACAGAACCTGAATTATATAAAATACAACCTTGTAATAAAATGTATGTAAAACTCATTTGATGATATTTTTAATTAAAATTGTTGTATAAATCTATTTATAATATTTTTCTCATTTTATAATATTGAATATAACGAACTTATAAGATGAATCATTCATTCATTTAACAATTCAAATTAGCTCTTCTTATATAATTAATACTAATCAAAATATTAGTTTGAAATCCATTTACTTATTAATAATTGACTATTTTATAAGATAACATGCATTCATTAAAAATAAATATATAATCCTAAAATATTATCGATAATCCAATATTATTCTCTAATTATTATTAACAAATACCTTCTAAAATGATATGTGAATAATTATTATAATATATACATAAAGGTCAGCGAAATTTTTATTTAATTCATTTATTATACATTAGAGATCGAGATGTTATTGAAGGGACAATATCACTTTTTATGGAACAAAATAGAAGGACATTTAATAACAGCCAAACTTAAATTCTAAGAGGAGAGATTAAAAAAATCTGAAGAAATTTACAATATAAACAAAAATAATTGACCAATTAATATAACACTTATAAATGATTATTTAATTCAAGGGTTTAATTCTAAATTAGATTTAAGTAACAATTTGACTACTATACCATTCTAGTTTACTTAAGGATAATGTAAGAAATTGGCTAAAAAAAATCTTATTTCTGCTGAAGTAGTCTATAAAACTATATTTAAAAAATCTATTAATTTATAGACAGTAATAGGTTTTATGGATGTTTATTATGAAGAAACATCTTACCAAACATCAGAATAAGTTTGTAGACTGATTAATTAATAAGAAATTAGACAAAAAATTGCAAGGAAATTGCTATATAAAATTGTTAGAGTGTATAATAAATATTTATTTGAATAATAAATTTGGCAAACAATTATTTTAGTATTTCTCTTTTCATATTCTTGAATCTACTTTGGAAATGATTTATGGATACTATTTATGCCTTAGTCCAACTAGAAAATGAGGATACTTTTATGATTGTTAATTAGATGATATCAATGTTAAATAAAACGATTAAGTGAAAATAGAAAATATTGAATAGAATTGAATTTTTGCTAAGCACGGCCCTTTTAAAAAAGAAAGAATAACAATACTTCATACAAAAAATAGCTTTCAAAATTTTGGAAACAATCTATATAAAAGATTATTTATAACCAACAAAATACCTTATCCATCTTTGACTATTTGCTTATAGATATAATTTGATATATTTATATACAGGTCCTCATTTACTTAATACTAGTTATATGAAAGCATAAAAAATAAAACCTATATCTATTCCATTAATTGTATTTCTCTAATATTCTATAAGATGATATTGTAAATTCATATTTCCAAATATTTTTAATGAATATATTTATTGAAGATAAGTTGAAATTATGATTATTATAAGGAGAATTTATTATTTGTAAGAGAAGTAGAAGAATATGGATTAAAAAAGTCTATAAATAGTCCAAGATAAAGTTTATCCTTTGGGGTAGGTTTCAATAAGATGACATCCAAATTATTTTATAAAATGGATAAATTTAAATGAAATTGAGTATTTTCAACGATTTTAAAGTTACATTCACTCGCTGTTTGACATAATTTATTATTAAGTTAAATTAATAATTTCCAAATTCTGTAAATATTTTTTGAATCTCTATGAAATCACAGAAATCTAAGATAAAAATCTATATTATACTTTCTTAATTTGAATAATGAATTAGTGGAAAAAAAAGATGGTTTCATTTTTGGCCTAGCACAGAATATTAAAATATAAAAGAGAGTTATCTGAGCTTATGGAAATTAAATATTTAAAATAAATAAATGTATTTTTTAAATATATTAGGATTAAATATATTAAGAATGATGTATTTCCTATTAAAAATCATATATGGCATATTCAATGTGGAAATAATTCAAGTATTTTTTTGGATATACTTTAAATCTCTTTGCTGTTTACATTGTGAGTTTCCAAATAATTAAGTGCATACTCTCTTGATTCTGTATCTACTTCAATCAATTTCAATAGGGAATCTGTAACATCTCTCACTAAATCAGGATAATAAAAGAATTCCATTAAAATTTCTACTATTTTAACTGTTTCCTATTTTAAACTCTAATTAACTCATACTTCTAAGGCTATAAAGATGGCTTCGTTGTAGTCTCTCAAGAATTTGCATAGAGTTCTGCCATATTATTTATATTAATCATAATTTTCTAATCCTCTAGGTATTAATTTAGCCAAGGCTATTACTACTCTAGGACCAAGTAAATCATCTAAAGTTTCATAGCTATTTGATAATAACTTTGTTATGATAATAAATCCTTCAGGATAATCTGCAATATTAATTAATGCTTATTTAACATCTTTACAGAAATCTTTATTTAATAATGAGATTAGTTTCTAATTTTGTATTTAAATATATATATACTTAAATGATTTCATCATTCTCAACATGTACACATTATTTCTTACCTTCAAGATTTATAGTACAATTCATAATCAAAATGGTAGCAAAATAAGCTTCTTCTTATAAGGGACTATCTAAATATCGATTAGCAACATTAATAGCATTTTCTCTAATAGATTCTTCTTTGCCTTCATGATTGGCACATATTTTAGATAATACTTCTAAAGATAAATAAGTTATTCTTTAAGAATAATTTTAATCATAGTAATTCTCTTAGGATAAAATTTCAATGAATCTCTTTATTGTTCCACAATTTAAAAAGAAGTAAATACCATTATCAAATTCTACTATTTTTGCAAATGCTTCTAATAAATATACAGTAAATTTAGGATATTCTTTAGATTACATAAAGGATTAGATCATCTTTTTAGTGAGATTGGATTTACATAGGATATCTACTCCATCTCTTCCAGTTATTATTCTACATAATGCCCATCCACATTATTCTCTAGCATCATCAAATAATAATTTAGATAATCCATCAAAACTCAAATCACATAATTATTCTCTTCCTCTCATTATACTTACTAAACATCCCAATAAAATAACTGCTTGTTTTCTTATTTAAATATCTTTATGATGTAGATAGGCACTTGCAATTCCCACAAGACCTAATTCTAAAGAGAAGTATTACCTTATGATATCATTTAATCTTTCATTTCTTAATGATCAACCATCTCATTCAATGTAATCAAGGCATCTCTATATTTAAAAGCTTCAATATTTTCCATTAACAATATTTCAATTAATTTAGGAATGGAACGGTCAAAAACTGCATGATAAACCTATTCTTTAGTATGAGTATTACTTCAGAGGGATCATATCTATCCTTGAAATCCGGTTCAACATAGGGATGTCTATCCTTCAGGTTTTCAGAAACTACATGAAGTTTATAGCTTTGCATATTATATAAATTATATCAATTTTAATTATTAAAAAGATCATTTCTTAATGATAAGAATTAACTAGCAAGAGACATAATTAGTGATCTATGATTTATCTCTCTTACATTAGTATTCTAACTCACATTTAAACTTCTTTATAATGTCTCTACATTAGATTATTAGTATTATATAACATCTATTTTTTATTAAAATTATTATATACTCTTTTGTGAAGTGTTAATTCCTTAAGGAGCCAATCTGAAACTATCCACATCTATTAATTCATCATAAACTTTATCCCATCCAATATAATGAATCAATATTTATTTAGGTTTATCATTTTATCCATATCTTATTTCTTTTATTTCACCTATACACCAAATAAAAACTGTGTCAAGAATATCTAATTTCATTCCTACTTTAAATTCTTTAACTCTTCCTCTTTCTTTCCATAATTATATCTCTTATAATTTAACTTCATAATCTTTATTATTCTTTTAAGCAATCCCTATCCAGTAATCAATGGAAAGACAAGGATAAGCAAAATCTTCTTTAAACTCTCTTCTGCAAATTGGGCATTTTTTCTATACTTTCTTATAAATTATAATACGCGACATTTAAGTAGATGGTCAAATAAACATTTTTAACAACAACTATGTTAACAAATTGTTGTTACATAATTGACATAAAAAGAATGGCATAGACTACAAATCTAATCTTTATTATTTTAAGGAGTATATGTTAATTATTCTTTATATTTCATAAAAATACTTTGTTTTCTTATTTGATATTCTTCTAAATTAGTCTTAGCTCTTCTCTTTTTTAATAAAAATTGCTCCAATTTATTTGTAAACTTAACCTTTTTCAATTCATCGATTCTATTCATTTTATCACTTTAATTATTTGTTCATTTATAAAAATGAATAAAGTTCTTCAATATAAACTTGAGAATATTAATTTAAGATAATTACATACATATATAAGTAACTATAAACTGTTTATATCAAATGTAATTGATTAAATTTACTAAATTTTGATTCCAAAGATAATTCCCATCAGAATCTTGTAAATGACAATTGATAATCTAAATGTTGGTAAAATAGTGTTAGAATGACTCAATAAGGTGTATGATATAGACAGAAAAGTTTAAAGCTTAAGAATACTCAATCTTGAAATAACAAGAGATATGATTAATAATAATGAGTGGAATAATTGATATATGATAAATGAGATTAATATTTATTGAATTTACATCATATTATAATAAAAATGAGATGTCATTTTGAGTTTTAATTAACAATTATTTATTGGTATATAATATAAATGCTTGATTTAATTATGGGAAATTTTAAATCTTTTTTTTAAAAAGTTAAAAACACATGGTAAATTTTTCAATCGATCAAATCAGAGAAATCATGGACAAATAGGACAACATTAGAAACATGTCTGTCATTGCTCATGTCGATCATGGTAAATCTACACTTACAGACTCATTGTTATGCAAAGCTGGTATTATTGCTTCCAAAGTTGCTGGTGATGCTAGAGCAACTGATACCAGAGAAGATGAAAAGGAAAGAGGTATTACAATCAAGTCCACTGGTGTTTCTCTTTATTATGAATATGACATCTATGATAACAAGACCTTAGAAAAGTTTTTGATCAACTTGATCGATTCCCCAGGACACGTTGATTTCAGTTCAGAAGTTACAGCTGCCTTAAGAGTTACTGATGGTGCATTAGTCGTTGTTGATTGTGTTGAAGGTGTTTGTGTCTAAACAGAAACAGTGTTGAGATAAGCTATGCAAGAAAAAATCAAACCAGTTGTCATGGTTAACAAAATTGACAGAGCCATTTTGGAATTAAAACATGATGGTGAAACAATGTATTAAAACTTTGTCAGAGTCGTTGATATGGTCAATGTCATCATCAATACCTATTAATAAGAAGATATGGGTGATCTCCTTGTTCATCCAGAACTTGGATCTGTCTCATTTGGTTCAGGAAAAGAATGCTGGGCTTTCTCATGCACAAGATTTGCCAGAATCTATGCTAATAAATTCAAGGTTGAACCACTCAAATTATAAGAAAGATTATGGGGAGACAATTACTTTGATGCTGAAGGAAAATGCTGGAGAAAAGACAGTACCAGTGGATCAGGAAAATAAATGAAGAGAGCCTTTGTTGCTTTCATCATGGACCCAATCTGTAAATTAGCTAATGCTGTTATGGAAGGAAATATGGATATGGCTAATAAAATGTTTGAAACTTTGGGATTAAAACTTACATAAGAAGAAGCTAAATTAGAAGGAAAACATTTACTTAAGGCTGTTATGTCCAAATGGATTAATGCTGCTGATACATTACTTGAAATGATTGTCTGTCATTTACCATCACCAAGAAAGGCTTAAAAATACAGAACCTCATATTTGTATGAAGGACCATAAGATGATGCTATTGCTTAATCAATGAGAGAATGTAATCCAAAGGGACCATTAGTTATGTATGTGTCTAAGATGGTGCCAACAACAGATAGAGGAAGATTCTTTGCTTTTGGTAGAGTTTTCTCTGGTACTATTGCTACAGGATAAAAGGTTAGAATCATGGGAGCAAATTATAAAGTAGGAAAGAAAGAAGACTTATTTGAAAAAGCTATCTAAAGAACTGTTCTTATGATGGCCAGCAGAGTTGAATATATTCCAGATGTTCCATGTGGTAACACAGTCGGATTAGTCGGTGTTGATTAATATTTGATGAAGACTGGTACAATCTCAGACCACCCAGATTGCCATTTAATCAGATCAATGAAATATTCAGTATCTCCAGTCGTCAGAGTTGCTGTCT